TTAAGACAGAGTAGAAAAAGGAACTTGAGAGCCACATCTTTTCTCTACAATTGCTAAGATTAACTGGACGCTTATATAATAAATGCCAAGTACTATTTTCTGATCCAAAGATGTACTAATTCATTTCATCCTCACAAAAACTCTATGCAGAAAATGATGTCATTTTTTTCCCCTGTAGAATGGGATAATGAGGTACAGAAAGGTTAAGAAACTTAGTGGAGAATGTGCAGATGGTAATTGTTAGAGCTGGGATTCAAGCTTCGATTCTATACTACAAAGCTGAAAAGAACTTAGCAGAAGAGGTAGATATTATATAAAGCCTAGAAAAAAGTTGAAATCGATGAAATTTAAAAAAAAGAAAGAAAAGGACAAATAAGAAAACAAAAAAAAATATTTGTAGCACAATGTTTTTTCCCCCTAGGATTATAACAATGCTTTGAGGACTATCTTTGATTATATAACATGCATATATTATATATGAATTATATGGTTATATATTATACATCATGACAAACTGTATGTGTATATATGTGCATTTACTTCTACATGTCAACAAATAGCCACAATATAATGTTAACACTTTTTGAAATACAAAGTAACACTAAAATTGACCTTTCCCAAATATTCTGAGGGATAGTCGATTTTCTGAAAAAGAGTGAAGGGTAAATGTCAGATGGCTGAATCACAGAATACTGAAAAGGTTAAGGCAAAAGCAGAGCCTTGCCATCGTTCTTTTAGTCTGAGATGTGATAATATGTAAACTTATTTTGTTCTGAGGTTGTTCTTATTGTGCCATGGAAGTCTATTTTTATGAACAATGATTAGGACAAAAATGCTGGGTAGTGAAGTTCAAAACTTACTTCCTCAATGCCATCATCAAGGTTTCTCTAATGAGTTAGGGAAACAAAATTCATGATGTCCTTGCCTTTCCTAGAGGACACGCCTGGCTGTTTACCTATTATATACTGTTCTAATGGTTCTTCAGTGGATGGTGGGAAAAGCCTATGGCTTACAGAGTGGACATTAGAAAAAGAAAACAAATGTGAGAAATTCTTGGATTCTATATATATCAATTTTTCTCTGGATTTTACTTCAATGTCCTAGCTAATGTTATACTTATGGAATACTATGACTATTATGAATATATGACCTTTTTAGTAGGTATAATTCTTCTTACCTTGGATAACATGACAACTTGATACATAATTTTCATGACGAGTTTGGAAACCATGAATCAATATCCCTATGACCCACTTACACTAGATAAATGAATTGTCCATCAAATGATACTAATATGAAAACAAAACTATCACATAGCTGGTCAGTGTCTCTAGCTATTTACTTAGTTATACAGAACTGCAAAAACTGAATCCAAAATGAAAGGCTTCTCTGACTTGAGAAGAGGTATTATTATCAAGTTTATCCTGGGAAAATGTTTTACAGAGTTTCTGTGGACAGTTTTATGGCTGTAGCTGTAAATACAGAGTAAAGAAGAAAATACAAGCAATCACTCTAATGATTCAAGAAAATAATATTTTCCAGTTCTTTCAGAGAGTTTGTGATATATCTCTCACCTCAGCGAGTTATACTCAGGAGGACTCATCCCTGGCTGGCCCTGTGGCTCAGTTGGTTAGAGTGCTGCAACCAAAAGGTTGTGGGTTTGACTCCTAGCCAAGACACATATCTAGGTTGCAGGTTTGATCCCTGGTATGGGTGCATGTGGAAGGCAACCAATCAATGTTTCTCTCTCTCTCTCTCTCTCTCTTTCTCTCTCTCTTCCCCTCTCTAAAACATATCCTCAAGTGAGGATTAAAAATAAGAAAAAATTAGGACTCAGATTATGAGTTAATGTTTTATATGATAATTTTCAACTTCCATCCATGATAGGAAGCTGGGCTCCACTCCTATACAACCTCTGATTAATTTGCTCACTTGGAAAGCTAATTAGATGTTTCCTGTATAAAATACAAAGGTCTGGGTCAGAAATTCATATTCTTTTCTGCTCCTCTGGAGTCAATCTGCACACTCTACATCAAAGGGTAGAGACTCTAATGACAGCATAGGAATTCATATCCAGCACCATTCAGCAGAGTTGTAGGGAAAACTGATGTGACTCTAATTGCCTCCCCAGATCATGAGGACAAAGGAAGCTCTCAGAGTAATGAAGGAGGCTGTATCTGCTTTTACAGTCAGAACAGCTCCTCCTTGGCCTGAAGCTGGAAATCGGTCCTGACAGTGATTCTATTAGGGAACTCTTCTGTTGGTCTACCTGGAAAATACAAATATAGTGTATCCATTTTAATTGAACATTTGGTTTGCTTTTACTACTTACATGGAGATAAAATTCTTTCATACTGGAGTAATCTTGGATGGGTGGGATAGACTTCTCAAAGAGTCGATCTGCTTTCTTCAATGAGTCAGTCATTGAATGTACTATCCTCTTTGAAAAGCTTCCTTACTCATGCCCAACTCTTGGCCTGGCTTTCACTATCCCCATCCGTTCATTATACATGTGCATCTTTCATTCTTTCTTATACCTACAATCCCTTTGAAGCCAAATCTTGTTTACCTGTAGCCTTGATTAATGTTATGGTCTGTGTCTGGACTAGATATGCAATGGAAACTAGGGTTTTCAAGTACGGTCCACATTTTTCTCACCCAGGGAAATATAAGTTTCACAATGAGACAACCACACTCCAATGTGATCAGTTAAGACTCCAAGTAAGTATGAGGTCTCTGCTTTGAGGCAGGCCCAGGTTTTGTTCCTGGCTCTGAACTTAACTCTTGGTACAAGTTGCTTAGTCTCTAAAAGCCTCAGTTTTCTCTATTTACTGAGGTAAATGGTATCTACCTCATTCAGGTTTGGTAAGCATTGTGTTAGAGTAAATTAGATAATACATGGAAAACATTTACCAGAGTACCTGGGCCAGGGTAGTAAACATGTCTTACAGTTGTATTAACTCCCATTTCCTTACTTGGTGGCAAGTTCACTGGGGTCAGACACTCATTATGTATTCCTTTAAATACCTGGCAAAGTTTTAAGCAGACAATAGGGTCTGGTAATTCATTTCATATGCCTAGTAAAATCATATTGAATTTGTGTTATTTCTCAGTTTCAGAGTAATGAGAACAGCAGAGTGCAAAACTAGGCAAAAACGGGGTGCTGGGTCTGCCAGGAGCAGTGAACAAGGCTTGTCTTTCAGGGAGCAGCTAAGTGGCCAAAGAGATAAGTATCTTTTGTGTCCTCCTTTTGGTAGCCACGCCTCCAGAGAGCAACAAATCTGAGAGGAGAAATATGACAGAAAGACAGCAGTTTGGATAAATACCTTTCAACTTACTAATCACTTTATTTCAAGAGGTTAAGCTGACTACAACATTTATACAGGATTTAAAGCAAGTGGTCTTGAGATTTATGAAGGATGGTGGTGTTCATGACCATTCTTTGACATTATACCTTTAATTAAGCTCTCCAGAAACCTTTCTTAAAAATATGCTTTTTATCTTTCAATTAAAAAGAAATTAGACGAGGTGCCAGTCCAGCTGCACTCTGAGGAAAATCCGCTGACTCCTTGGCGTGGAGGCCAATTTCGCCCATGGCTCAATGCACAAGCTTTGTGGATGTTTGATTATTTTAATTTGCTGATAATGTGTTTGGTATGAGGTTGATTTTTGCAACTTATGATTCAAATATTGTCACAAAATATTTGAAAACAAGCCTTTTCTTGTATCACTAAATAACTTAATAAATAATATCCACAAATACAAACTCACTGAATACAAAATTTCAGCTATATTTTCTGCTGGTTACATAAAAGTCCTTTGATTTAAATTCAGTCAAATTTGAGGCTAAACAGATTTTTTCTATAACCATTTTATCTTTAAAATGAAGTTATATTTTTACGCTTTAAGCCCTTCTTTATTGAATTTAAAGCTGCACCTTCAGTTAATGTCCAGCATCAACTAAATATTGATGGTCTTTGGGTCATTGAGCAGATGAACCTTCATTTCTCTCTTACTTGTTTTAGCTACTGCCTCACACCATCAGTCAAAGTAACAACCTCTTGGTGAATTAACACAAATGCAAATTTCTGTTTTCAGTATTTTGAGAGGAGGGTAGAACATACAATAAGAGAGAAGTATTTCCAGGCTCCTTCAATACTTCTTTTCTTCATATCTGATGCCAAATGTGGAAATTCACCTGTAAAGCCCCTGAGAAATGGCACAAAATTGTGCTCTAATTGGACCAAAAGACCACAATTGTTTGTGGCTTTGATACTTCTCCATAAAGAGTTCTCACTTGGCCAATAATTTTTCAGTCACAATAGAAATTATAACATATAGAACTTCGGAGGGTTTATATTGGCTGCAAAATAAAATAGAGTGAGCATTTCACACACACACTCACACACACACATGCTCTGAAGCATGTTTTAGGGTCAGTAGAGGAAACACTTTCTGCCTGTAAGTATGATATTTTCAAAGAGATGAATCAAAAATTTAGGAAAGATTTAATCCCATTTTGCAGACATTATCAATTATATTCTGTAGGGGCTAAATAGGATAGATGATTAAATGGCATTCTCTAAATTACTATAGATTTTTTTTCCTTTAGATTTCAGGGGATCCACAGAGCAGGCAAAAAGGTGACTGAAACCACCATCACAGAATGGTGTGCATGTCCCTTGCCAGCAGAGCTGACTCCCAGGCAGATACTACATAGCAATCACACCATCACAATAGTTATACCCAAAAGCAGTCCATAAAACAAGCACCAATCAACTGGGCATAATTTTTATCATAATCTGAAATCTTTAACCATAGCAATGAAGTTTAGCTATGAAAAATATTAAATATTAGGGTCCCAGATGATAGTATGACCCAAGTTATCTTTGCACATTTTCTGGTTTAAAAGGTGGTCACATTGGCACTTAAAAAAATAAATCAGAAAATAATATGGTTTCAAGTGAACAAATAAATATGATTTTAGGAGAGTCTTTGCATTATCTATTGCTTTCCTCTTGATTTGGTTCCATTGATAATTTCTCCCCAAGTTTTCTAATAAGTTCTGCTAGATCTTCTGAATTCTGAGTTTTTTCTTCCAGGAGTTCATAGCGGAGACTTGAGATGTCCTGTTTAATTTCCTTCAGTTCCCCTGTGAAAAACAAGAGTGATAAAAAGTCAACTGTACATACATAATGCAGAGAACCTAAGAGATTCTGCGATAGAGTGAAATCAGTCTTAACTCCATACACATCTGTATTTTGAATCCTCCTGAAAGAAATAACTTCTTAATGAGCAGTTTCTATTTTGTCAGCTAAGTACTTTGGTTAATAAAAAGATGATAGAAAAAACATAACAGAAGTCCTGTAAAAGTAACTTAAAGGAAAACACAGGTGGCAAATGTTTTGGCAATTACGAAGAACAGCCCCTCACTTTTCCCCACCACTTCCTCCTCCCTTGAAGCCCCCCATAAAAACAATAGTTACTTTAACTACTGGCATCTGCCCCCAACTCTGGAGAAATAGCCTATTTCCTGAGAACTTAATGGTATTGAGGATGGGTGAGAACCTGTCGCCTCCCCTGACGCTCATGGTCCCAGGCCCTTCTCTTCAGCTCCCCCTGAGCTCTGCCCACATCCCGGCTCCCCCACAGGGCCAACTTTTCCCCAGTTTCAACTCACCTTCATTCACTTCATCACTTTCCTTATCCATCTGAGCTTTTAGGACATATCTTTTAATGAGCCTCTTCATTATTTTCTAGAAAGAGAAAAAAATCCACTTCAGTTCATGACAAATCTCTCATTTGGAACAAACTTAGGTCATTCTCTCTTTAGTGAGCATTTTTGAAGTGATGGCTAGCAAAGATTAAGATGATCCACCCACCAGGGAATGCATACTATCTCCAGGTTTTTAGAGCATTTTTCACATCACCTGGGATAATGACTCAAAAATTAATTCTTTTAGAAAGCAGCAAATTCAGAACAAATATCTAATGCTTGATTCATTCCTTGTATTTTATTTGAAAAGTATTAGGGCAAGACACAGCATTTTCGCTGGAAATGTTAAAGGTATATAGTACTGCAGGTGGAAATGGAAAATTAAGCAAACAAGCAAAGACTCATTTATGTTTATTCCCCTCCCTTACCAAGAAATATAACCAGCTTTGATTTTATGCTTGCTAGTAATTTATGAATGGCCAGTTACAGTATAATACAGTTCCTCCATTACCAGGGTTTCTTCCATAAGGATGTGTTTATAACATACCTTTCATGAAAAGTAGGATGTTAGCACACATGCAGGAAGTCCTGAATGAAGATATAGCTAGACCAAATCTTACTACCTGGCCCAAAAGAAATGATGGACAGTAAAATTCCAATTGTAAGAAGTTATTCCAAAGATGTAATTAGGTTTATGGACAAATATGTTCATAATAGTACTATATAATAGTAGAAAAATAAACCTTAAATGTCCATCAAGGTATTATCTGAATAAATTATAATATATTTATACAAAGAAATACTATACATTCATTAATATTAATATTAATATATTTTTTGAAGTTGAAAAACTATTGCTCATCATATAAGTATTATTAGTTTATTTTTATATTTTATATAGATGAAGCCTGTCCATAAGGTATCCAACCATGTAACATAAAAAAGGCATTTATTGAAGAATATACAAGATACAAGAAACATTACACATAGGACAAGGATGCCTCTGTCCTCTTCAAAGGTACCTTGGGACCTCACACAGTTCCCCCAATCGCCATCAGCTGCCTCATTGTATCTTCCTGAATCTCATCAACAATCTGAAATCTCTTCCCTTTCAAAGGTGATTTTAGTTTGGGGAAAAGCCAGAAGTCATAGGGCACCAAATCTTGGCTGTGGGGGAGCTGAGTCACCTGGGTGATTTGATGTTTTGCCAAAAAAACTCTGCATGATGCATGACACATGAGTGGATGCATTATCATGATGAAGCTGCCAATCATGAGTTGCCCATAGCTGTGGACTGCTGAATCACCTGCATAGTTTCCATGAAGGAATGTTCAAGCTTAATACAAAATATGATGCAGATTCACTGTTCTACTTGCTCAGTCATTTTGAATGTGACAGCCATGCACTACATGTGCTCACTCAGTGGTGTCTACCACCCCCACTGACCAGTACAATGAAGTCATGGTTCCCACATGCGCATCACAGTCTACTCTCCTTGGCTGCCAAGTTACATTGATGTTGTGCAAACCATTCTTACCTTATTAACAATGGCTGGACTGTTTCCAGACAGATCTCATACATTTATATAATAATACTGATATATGTAATATTCTACACACACATAATCATCTGGCAGAATATTCACTAAAAGAAGTAGGTTTTACTCCTCAGTGGTAGAATTTTAGGTGAATTTTACTCTCATTTTTATGTTTTTAGTAAGGATAGACTTTTTGCAATGAGCATGGAGACTCTAAGCTCCATGATGCCAAGACTTCATCTATTTTGCTTACCTATGTATCTCTAGTACTTACAAAGTGCCTAGCCCTGGATGGTGTGGCTCAGTTGGTTAGGGCATCATCCCATAAACCAAAATGTTGTGGTGTTCAATTCCTGGCCAGCGTACATGCCTAGGTTGTGGATTTGGTCCCAGGTCAGGGCTCATACAAGAGGCAACCAATCGATGTTTTTCTCCCTTCCCCTCTCTCAAAAACCAATAAGCATGTCCTCAGGTGAAGATTTAAAAAAATAGAAAGTGCTTGGCACATGGTAATTAATAAAAATTTGTTGAATTCATTTTGATATTAAAAAAGAAGTTTATTTTCATCTAAAGAATTGCATAGTTTGAGATTCTATATGTTACAAATAACTAGCCTCACTTCTTTAAGTATTTGTGCTTAGCCCTAGCTGGTGTGGCTCATTTGGTTGGGTGTCATCCCCAACCAAATTTGAAAATTGAAAGGTCACTGTTTCAATTCCCTGTCAGAGCACATGCCTAGGTTTGGGGTTTGGTCCCCAGTTGGGGTATATATAGAAGGGGACCAATTGATGTTTCTCTCACGTAGATATTTCTCTCCCTTTCTTTCTCCCTTCCTTCCTCTCTCTCTGTTAAAAAAAAAAAAATCATTCTTACCTGATATTGTCTTGGAGGATTATTAAAACTATTTAACTGGAAATCTTCTGAGCTTCTTATACTTGATTGTTTATTGTGCCCAAGCTGTAATTTGAAAATAATTAGAAACTGATTTTTATCTAATTTTTTAAAAATATGATGAGATTAGTTATAAAAGTGAACGAATATATACAGTATGTATACATATACTTACTGTATATATAGTCTTATATAGTATGTGTAAGTAGTTGTGTGTGTGTGTGTGTGTATATAAGTGTATATATATACATACATATAAGGTGCCATTTTAACTTCACTTGCTTAACATTCTATCTTCCAAAACAAATCGTAGGCACTTTAGGTGTGTTCAGTCTCTCAATGGCTATTAGAGTTTGTTTGAGGAGCCTTTTAGACTTTGTGGCATCAATCATGTTGTCATGACAGTCACACTTTAACCTTCCCACAGACAAATCTGTGATAGAGGAAGAGGCAAATGAGTTGGGAAAATAATGGGGATGACCTCAGAAGTCTACTGATGAAGGATCAACAGGCCAGTGTGATTGACTACAACATCCATGCCGACACTGGGCTACATCAGGATGAGACAGCTGTGAGATGGAATTCAAATTCCAAGAAAACACTAATTAATCCATTTGACTTTTAGCATCTGTATAGTACCCAATTTGGGAAGCACTTTTCAAGTAATATATTACTTGAGGCTCAGCGAGACTCAAATAAAATCCTTGATGTCAATATTTTGATCTTGAAATGCCTGCAGGCTGAATGAAAAGTTACATTCATCCACTGAATTAGTATGTATGAAGTGTCTTCAATACATAAGGTGCTGTGCTAGGTTACAGTACTACTGAAGGAGATGAACAATTATGGTCTAGCTGATTTATAATAATAGGAAAATATGGCAAGGCTGACAAAATCCATAAAAACATATAATTTTGATAATATTGTTTAGATAGCATCATTTTTCACATAGCTAATTTCCCTTTTTCTTTCACCCTCTCTAAAAACATTAGCAAAATGTACATTACTTTATTTTATATTAACTTTAAACAGCATTAAGATGAAATTATAAAATTGACCAAATTAACCAAAGAGAGGCAGCTTAGATCTTTAAGAGCACTTGACTGGAAACCTGAAGACTCAAATCTGGCTCTGCCACAAGTTAACTGTAAAACACTAGGCAAGAAGCTAGAAGTGTCTATTATCTCTTCTAAAAATGAAGGGAGTGGTCTAGTTAACCTCTATAATCCTTTGAGTTCTTCTAATTTATGAATTTGTGAAATTAATGCAAACTTAAACATATTTTAATAAAATATAATTTATTTTAAAATGCTGTAACTACTCTTTTATTTTTATAATGCTATAATTATTTCTGGCTTTCCAACTGTAATTTATACCTTAAGGGCATCATTAAATGTGATGACCAGGTTCAAGCTCACTTTCATCCCATATTTTATGATAAAGCTTGGAGGGTGAGAACAGGTTCATAATCAGAGAGAGAAGACCCAGACAAATGGAATCTGTACATCCTGTACTACCCGTTCATGAATTCACAACCTCATGGTTGAGAATCATTAATGTGATGTCTCATTTTTTTATTAGAGTCTACTAGTACATCCAAAAGTGTTCATGAGAATAGAAAGAGAAAAATGTTGCTTCCTAGGGATTTTTTGAAGGCAAATGTGTGATACTTAATACTCGATATGCCAGTCTCCCCCAATTAAAGCAGCTCCATGACATACCATGCCTGTGGAGATAATCCTTTCTTTTTGTAACAGTATTATAGTAATGTCACACAGGGATCTTTCCTAATTTAAGGTCTGTGTGTTTGCTGTTTCCAATTCCCGAAACCCTCCTCTCCTGGATCTTTGCCTAGATGACTAGCTCTGTCTCATCCTTTGGATTTTTCCTAAAATATAAGTTTCTCAAAGTTTTTCCTGCCCATTCCATGAAAAACAGTTCTTGAGCAAGCTAGGCCTTTTGTGTCCTTTATAACATACTTCACAACTGACAATTATTATATTTACTACCTTAGTTACATGTTTATTGTCTACATTCTCCAGGCTACATGGAAGAATGGACTTCGTTTAGTTCATCCCAATGTCCCTGTTGCTAGCACTGCCCAGCATGCAGCGACTGCTCAAAATTGTTGGCCGGTGAACTAAGTGAAGGAAGACGTGCTCCTGGGTCACTAATTGATCTCACTTGGCTTCTGGACACCTTGTTGTACAAGACACGTGCAATCCAGGCTCATGAGCCAGCTGGTTGCATCTCAGCTACATCCTAAAAATATGTCAGAAACATGGTGAATTGGTTTTAGGGCATAAGGCAGATGCCTCTCAAAATAACACACTGGGTGGCACAGAAGAAGTAGCAGTGTTGGGAATGCCAGGAAACAGTATTCTGTTCATCTGAGAATGGGTATGATTGTGGGTTTTCTATAGTGTAGTTATTAAAATGTCAATGGCCACAGCTACAGCATGTACATACAGTTTCAGCCCAACAAGCAGCTCTCCCATGTGTGTGAGTTCAAGGTTTCTCAATCAGACTAGATAATTCTTTGTTGTGTGCGTGGGGGGGAGGGGTGGTTCTGTATATTATAGACTATTTAGCAGTATCCATGCCCTCCACCCACTCGATACCGGTAACAGCTACCCTGTCTGGCTGTGACAACCAAAACTGTCTCCAGCTCTTACAAACGCACCCCGGGGATGCTGGGGAGGGTGGGGGGAGTGCAACACAAACCCTGGCTGGGGATCGGGGGGTAGGGAAATGGTATATGACTAAACAGTTGTAAAGTTATTTGGAACACTTTTTGCGTGACTAGTTCTGCTCTAAATCTGAGAAACAAATTTGGAGGCAAATGTAACATTTTTAAAGAAAAATTTCTAATCATTTTTTAACCTATAATAGGTATTCAGTAAATACATGCTGAAATTGAATAATACAAAAACAGTATGTAAGGAGAAAATTACCCAATGGTGCAAAGAAGCATTATTACCACTTGGTGGCAGAAAATTCTAATATATAATTGTTTCTATGTACACTACTAAAATAAACTGGAAAGGCAAGGGAATTCTACTTGTAATATGAAAAAGGGAATTGGGAATTGGTAGTTATAGATCATATCAACAAGTATTAATATAATGTGATGGGAGTGGGAAGGGGAAGCTGGCTGAGTAGAAGCAGGAAGGACTGGGTATAAGCTTTGCTTCTGATTAACACACAAATATCCACTTAAAAATCTAGGGATAAGAATGACCCATTGCCTATTCTTATTTTTAATAGACCTTCTTCTACGTTTCCTTCACTCTTTATGTTTTTTCTCTGTTTCATTTTCTAATAATTACTTTATTAGCATGCCCCATCTCTTTGTGGCTTCATTGTAGAAATTAGAGTGAGGAACACTAACTTGTTTGTTCTTCATTAAGAGGAACAAGTAAGCTTCATTCAGCCTTTGGAATTTATTATGCTGCTGGACATAGCAACAGTTTTGAGAATCTCCCACTCTCCACAGCATGAAATGGCCTGAGGCCAAGAGTAAAACCATGAGCTGAAAAAGTATAAGCAATATATTGAGGCAGCAGGAAATGCAGACGTGAAATAGAGCCATGTGGTACAGTGCTTGTAAACCTCCTGCTTTGGAAACAAGGAGATGGGAATTGAAATTCTAGTTTTGCCACTTGTTTGAAATGTGACTTTGGGCAAATCATTTAACCTCTAGTAATCCTCACATTCCTCATGTATAAAACAGGGGATAAAAGGTTTGTAGAATATGTAGCTTGGTGTACAGTAGGTATTCTACAAGTGTCAGTAGCTGTTATTGTTATACAAAAGTTATAAATATCTACTATGTGGCTTTAGGTCTATTTCATGGTTTGTTTCAATCTAGTTTATTTATTCTGGAGATATTTTGCAAATATTGCTTTTTACTAACATGTCCAAACTCATGATTACGTTATTCAGGGAAGGAAATATGCAGTGATTCCCACACCCAGATGAGCATCAGAATCTCCTGAGATCTTATTAAAATATACATTTCCAGGCTTCATTGCCAGAGATTGTAACTCAGTAGGCTTGACAAGGACTGGGAATTTGAACAAAATCACCCGGAGAAGTGGTCCTGGGGATGGTGACAAATTGAAACCATTACTTTATGTGCTTATTCCACCAGAGGATTAAATAGATAGCCTCTGATTTGATTCAAAGTTAAAGGATATAGTTCCTGGATATGTAACTGACTTTTTAAAATGTCTATATCTCACTCAATCCAGTGAAGAACAGATCAAAAATGCTAAAATAAAGTGTGTATGCTCCATATTGGCTTACCGTGTAAGATGCAAACACTGCTCTTGCACTGACAACTTGAGAGGGATCTGTTGTGGAGCTGGAACACAGCAGCTCTTCAAGCAGTTATTTGGTATTTTCAGGTTTACACACATAATACAGTATGGCAGAGATCAACTTTTAATCTATGCTGTCCTTTCAAACTGTGCATCTGAAAAGCTAATGCTACCAACAACCAAAGTCAGTGACTTAGGGAGGTTATGATGAAAAAATTACAAACAAATCTGCTTGCTTTGCTTCCAAAGTATTTCTAAGGGAACCCTCGTACACTGTTGGTGGGAATACAGACTGGTGCAGCCCCTGTGGAAAACAGTTTGGAATTTCCTCAAACAGCTAAAAATGGAACTGCCTTTTTACCCAGCAATTCCACTGCTGGGATTATACCCTAAGAATCCCAAATCGCCAATTCAAAAGAACCTATGCACGCCACTGTTCATAGCCAATGTTTCCAGCCAAGTGCTGGAAACAGCCTAAGTGCCCATCAGTAAATGAGTGTATCAAAAAACTATGGTACATTTACACAATGGAATACTATGCAGCAAAAAGGAAGAAAGTGTTACAACCCTTTGCGACAGCATGGATGGAACTGGAGAGCATTATGCTAAGCGAAATAAGCCAGGTGGTGAAAGACAAATACTGTATGATCTCACCTATAAATGGAACCTAATCAACAAAACAGACAAGCAAGGAAAATATAACCAGCAACATTGAAAGAAAAAAGAAACCAACAGTAACTAGAGGGGAGGCAGGAGGTGGGTAATGGGGAAAAGAAGGGGAAGGGTCAAATTAAGAAACATGTATAAAAGACCCACGGACAAAGCCAAGGTGGGGAAGGATTGAGGGTGGGAAGTAGGGGTAGGTGGGGCAGGGAAAAGTGGTGGCAGGAAAATGGAGACAAATGTATTTGAACAATAAAAAATTTTTTTCAAAAAACAGATGATAAATTTTTAAAAATAAAAGAAAAGTATTTCTGTATAGCTCATCCTGCTGATTTCTATGGTATACTTGATCATATGTGAAGGAAGTGTTTGTGCACCCTAACCACATTAACCTTCAAGGAGTCAGAGGGAAAAACTGAGTGAAATAGAAACTTAACTGTGTTGTTTAGACATAGGCTTAATGAAAAGGAATGAGCAAAAGCCACATGAATTGGGTAAGGAAGACTGAACCATGAGAGTTTTTCTTAGCACATATCAGGGCCCATCTCAGTAACAACAGGCAAAAATGTTTGGAAATATAAATGGTTGCTTTTAAAAAACATTGTCTCAGAAATAGGTACAGTTGGTGTATCACCAAAAAAGCGAACTACGTGCAACTTTTGTCCATCACAAGCTTACATGGCAAGGGAAAATAGACACTTGTGTTGAGTTGGTCTTCCAGGAATGAAACTCCAAGACGAAGTTAGAAATGTAAAATGTACTTAGAATTTTGCCTATGAAAGATAAGGGGGAGTGGGAGCAGGAGAAGGCAGAAAATGCTTCCAGGCTGTGAGGCTCAGCTCCCCTGGGAGAGAGGGAAAGCTAAAAACATCATCTGAGAAAGTCAGCCAGCCCAGTGGGGAGCTCCAGTTCCAAGACTGCTCCCAAAGTGTCCTGTGATGGCAAGAAGCATCCAGGACATGAAGAGCAAGGCCATTGTAGGAAAGCCGGGGGGCATTCCAACGGTGCTGCAGCTGAAGGCTGCCAGCTGACCACACCCAAAGCAGGCGCTCTTCTGCAAGAGGGAGTGAATGGGACATCTCCATAGTGCCTCAGTAAACAGTTACACAGAAAGGTCTCTACATCATTAAGAAAGGTCTGACTAGAATCAACCTTGTGTTGATCTACAACCCAAGGTCAGATACCACATGCTTTGTATTGCTCTTAAAGAGCTTGTTTTAATTTAGGATTAAGTGTGTCCTATTGAAAAGTATAAGGTGATTCAAACCTCATTTAAAAGGTATAAAATGTATTTTTTGAGATGATTAAAATAAATTTTAATTTTCTACATTTTTAGAGAAACTACAAAAAAAAAATGTTATTTGATTTGAGAGATACCATAGTTTCTATCATTTAAAAAGGCATTCGATTCCCCTAGAATTTTTCTTATATTTGTCTAATGGTTTTTGGTGTCATGCATTCATCACAATTTCAGCACAAGTAGTTTCTTATTGGAAAACTATAAAATCCAACTTACACTGACCTATTTTTGAAAAATTTTTATTGAGTTCTTTATACCCAAATAACAAAAAGAACCACTTCTCTTTCACTAGTACTTTACATTTGTACAGTGTTTGTAATTTACAAAGCACCAGTTTAGTCCTCCCAACAGTCTTATGTGATGGATTGTATAAATTATCATCTCTATTTAATAGATGAGGAAATGGAAGTTCAAATAAGTTAAACAAATTGCTAAAAGGGCAGAGGTGAGATGAGATCCCAATCTTCTGAGAATGTAATTCTTGTTCTTACTATCAGTATATCAACACTTAGGAGAATTTATATTGTGTTGGAGGTAAGATAGCTTAAAAACAAAACAAGAAAAGCATTCCCCTCAGAATTGGAGTCCCATGGAGTGACTTTGTAGCACAGTTCTGGCCAATGAGACATAACAACAGAAACTGCTGGGGAGCACTCCTGAGAGTGGTGGCAGATTCAGGTGCCATGCCCCGCTTCTCTTCTGCCCTTATTCCTTCTTCATGTCTATAAATAGTGGGAGTGATGGCTGGAGGGGAAGCTGTCTCTCATCTTACATCTTACTGTCACAAAAATAATCCAAGAAAATCACAGATACCCACCCCTGGCAACAGACCTGTAGTGCCTAACTCTGGAGAGTTGAATGGAATGGGGGAAAAAAGCTGTCTTGTAAAACACCATGATTTGGCTTTTTTATGTCCAACTGAATGCAAGTCTTACCCGATACATTGGCCTTCTCATAGTTAATTCATGTATAATTTCCCTTTATCAATAAGCATTTCTTGTGCCTCTATATGCATGCTACAAGAAGGAAGCAAATGCCTTCATCATTGGGGATTTTGCCACTCCAAACTAGGCAGCTGATACATTTCCAAGGAACGTTGCTCATTAGGAACTATGCCAACCACAATAGCCATTGAATTCTCACCATGCTTTGAGAGCTTCTTGATTACTGACAAATAAGGAGGCTCTGCTAGATGTGCATACTCTGTTCTTGAGCTCCCAATAGTTGAATTATATCTCTGCCAATCCCTGACTAGTTCCTCTATTATTTTAATTTTTCCTTCTTTACATATTATTCTTATATTCCATCATTCCTAAATTCTCAAAAATATGTATTTAATATGTCTTAAATACACACATAATTCCTTTTGTTGATTATTTGAACATAGATTTATTTCTACCTCTCAAGATAGATAGAATAGATAGATTCTTTGGGTGTTGTTAAATTCTTTCCTGTGTCCAATTTCTGTTTCTTAAAACTGCTTCTGAACATGTGTTCTTTTCTCTGAAAAGACAAGCCTGATCATATACACGACTTCATATTTTCGAAGATGATCTTACCTGTTTTCTGTCAAGTGATGATTTTGAAAGGTCTTCATGACTTCCCAAAATTCCAAATTTCTTTTCTTTGTTTCTCTTTTAAAGAGAGATAATGAGTATAATTGCCGATTGTACAGTTATAATTACAAAACCAATTATATTTTTTCTTTATTCTATATTTTAAAAGTCATGAGGTCTAACTCTCCAGCAAGTTTCAATAAGAGAAAAATACTCTTACTGGGATCTTACCTTTCGTAAGTGCTTAGACATTTCCTTTGGACATTCAATTCTCTCAGACTGGAGTTTTAATCACAGCTTAGTTTTATTAAGTAAACTAGATACTTAATTTTATTGAGTAAAGCAAGGAAAATTTTTGCTATTCAACCTACTGAGTTCCATATTATGCATCTAAAAAAATGCTGTAAATGGTATATTTTCTAAAAATCCCAACACAAAATACTCATAATAATAATGATATTAAAGAGGACTTTGGAATTTGCATACTTTTACATATTTATTTTATTTTATCTTCAAGATGTAAATATAATTTTTATTCCCTTAATGCAGCTGAGAAAACTAGAGCCCAGAGAGTTTATCACTCACTTGAGAACCCCAAGTAGTAAGGACAAATGGAACAGGAATTAGAATGTTTCTCCTTTATTCAATGATAGAATCTTATAATTAACTGCAAGGAACTTTTATAATCATTTGGCTTAATTGCCCACCCAGTGTAGGAAGATCTATATACATTCCAATGTTGGCCATCCAACATATTGATTACTTTTAATGATGGGGAGCTTATTGCTTCATAAGACAGCCCACTGCCCTGTTGTGTACCATTTTGTTACAAGTAGGTTTTTATGTAGAACTAAAATAGAATTATTTGCAACTTTCACCCATTGCCTCTCTTCCTATTTGTGAAGGGACAAAAACAATTAATTGTACTTCTTAGTCAAGAGTGGGAATTCTAAAGATATTCATGTTCCCCTTCAATCCTCCTCCTTCAGGTCAAACAGCCAGCTCCTCCAGTCCCCCATCACAGCACACCCTCTCCACGCCTGCTCCCATCAGCGTGTTCCTCCTCTGGAGGCATCTGCTCCTCCTGGGTGTAGAGTTCGGCATCCAGTAGGGTTTTGTAGCATAGAGTAAGCACCCCACATACACAGGTACATACAACATTTCACATGTGCTCTAAATATTTCTGGACATACTGTGATCATTCTATATCTTCATCTAAGCAAAATGCCTCTTTTATGGTTTCTTGAGATTGTGCGGCCTTACAGGATTCTGTTTCCAATTAGTACCCTTAGATATTTTTTCCTTAAAATAACATATTGCCAAGCCTAGTCTCCCATAATGCAGGTGAGCAGTTGATTTCTGAACTTTTCAATGTAGAATTTACTTCAGAGTCAATTTCTCCCAAGTCATAACCGGCTACTGATGCTTTGCCAAGCTGTATAAACTGAACGTAAGGTGAGAGTCATGTAGCCACAACAGCAAAAACTGGGTCCCAGAATAGCTCTCCTTTTCAGTATCTGCTCCAAATAATGTATTACCCTTGTTACATTTTGTAGTTTTTTTCTTGTATTCCTGTAAGTAGGACGTGTCTATGTGCTCCTGTGAGACAGACATAGGCCTAGGGCCCATGCTGAGTTGACTGACTACATAAGGGATGAATGGACACGTCATAATGAACTGCTTCTTTTTAAAGGGATGTAGTACAGTGGTTATGGCAGCCACATCATTTAAAAATGTACTAAAAAATTATCAAATTACCTTGTTCATCTCTGCATCCTCTTGGAAACCTTTTTTATGACCCTGGAACAGCTCAGAAATCCATTTTTTTAGCTTCAGTAGGAGATAGAACAGAGACTTTGGACTTGGCACCAGGTTGAAGGGAACAGGAAGAGTTCTTCCTTCCTCAAAGTATGAAAACCAAAGTTTGGCCCTTGCAAATTTCCATTCCACATCAGCATCACCCTATACAAATACGCATGACAGTTCAGCAAGGAAATGCATAAACAAAATTACTGGAACGCTTCCAACATTGTGAGCCTACATGAAAGTAATGGCGCTGCAAATGCTCTCAGAAGCCCTAAGACTGCGCCAAGATTTTTTCAGAATGTTGGTTCTACTCACACACTCTTTCCTAAATTTGTCTAAACTTTTATCAGGCTTACAGAACTACAGATCTCAAAACTTGCCTGTGAGTTTTACCCTAGAAAATACAAATATATTTTCCTGCATCCTGAAAACTCTATACAAATTATTCACTCTTTTATTCTGCAACAAATCACTTATTTGATTAATTCAGGACAAAGAGTGAGGTTTCTGGAATACGAATTTATAAATCACTCTAAATATGAGAAAAAGTCAGTGTTGAACATCACTCAAAAAAGATTTTGAGAAGTCAGATTCATAAACAATATGTTTTTGGATAAAATGAATTAAAACTAATACAATGTTTCCTTTTTTTTTACCAATATAAAATCAGACAGCATTTCTCCTCCTCATGCCTTGCTCTCCACCACACCCACCAATGTTACATTTGGAAGCAAAGAGTTAAAATTATCTAGTCAAACAATTATATAAAACAGGGGAAGAACAAAGGAGGGAAAACAGCCTGCATTTTCATCACCACTGCTGAGCTGATCCTTAGAAAAGTTAAAACATATAGGCTCAGAGTACACAAAAGTATAGAGATTATACCTCAATTTCCTGGAATGAACTGTTGATCATGGCAATTAACATGTTTAGCAAAACAATGACCATTGTAACATTATAGACGCCATAAAGAACATAACCAATGTTTTCTATAAATTTATGATTATAGTTGATGACCACTGATTTCACTTCAGAAAGTCCAAATATAGCCCAGAACAGTGTCTTAAAACTCTCCTCGACTCTGGGAAAAAATAGAGAAAAAGGAAAAAATGAAGTGCCTAAATAAATGACCATGGTACCATTTTTTTATATATATATAAATATATATATTTATATATGTGTGTGTATATATGTGTGTGTGTATATATATCACATTATATATTTATTTATACATATATTTTGCAAAACATTATATATTTATATATATAAAACATTATATATAAGATATATATTAATGTTTTTGCAAATTACAAAGTATTCATGAGAAAATTCTTTACTTCCCTGAGCCTCAGGTTTTTTTCTATAAAATAGGTACTTTTAATTCCAGGATTGTTGCAAAAATGAGCTAATATTGTGTATATAAACACAAAGCTCAGTATCTGGCACACAATAAGCACTTAATAAATGTTATTAACATAACGTCATAACTACAGATGTTAACATTTAAATAATCTATAGCTTTGGCAATGGAAGTATTAAATGTATTACTTAATAAAAATAATATAATTTGTTAGAGTCCATTTAGGTTTCCTGCTCATCTATACATACTTCCAGTTATATATGCATATATATGTACATATACATATAACTTCCAGTTATATAATGGTATGTGTCTTAAGAAAAATATGGCAATATAAACATAGACTGTTATATATATAAACTGTTAGTAAAATTGCTGACACATCTTGGTAGCTATTTCAATGCTTTGGGCATAATTTTTGACCAAAGCTAAGCCCCGCAACTTAACCCAGATTGTTTCGTTTCTCTAATAAACTGCACTTGACAAAAAATATGGGTAACAATATGTTATGCTTCAGTTAATGCTTCTGATTATGACACTGAAGACCTAATATTTAAGTAATCAATTCCAAATATACCTTATTAAAAAACACGTGTCTATGGAAAACATAAATCCAAACTTTTGTCACTGTTGATAACTCAGGTCTTCTCAGTAAGATCTGACAAAGTGAATTAGGAAAACAGCTCTTCGCACAGCACCCCAGGCATCATCGTATGAGCAGACGGGCGCTGCCATTAATAGCACAGATGCCGAAGTCCATGGGCAAGGGGTTATGTCCCAACTTTTCCAAATGCTCACAGCAAAGTATTTAACTTTTCTGAACTTCAGCTTCCTCTTTTTGTGAAATGGAGGTAATAAAGTAATGCATGTGAGTGATTTATTATAGTACATGGCTCTAAAAGTGTTAGCTACTATTACTTTATATTAGGGAGGTGCCTATATTTTTTAGTTCTTGCAACTCCTTTAAAAGCCCTGTCATTTTGCAAAAACAAAACAAAACAAAAAAACCCTGCAAATTAACCTTGATCAAAGCACTATTTATCTTGTGGACATATACAAACATTGTTAAGCTAACATTTATTTGATCTGCAATCTTCACCATCAAAATTTCTGAGAGCACCTACATCATGAAGTTCTCATTTTGTTTTACACACATATTAAATCTGTAATCATTTAAGCTCATATTTATTTAATCCACAATCACCATCATCAAAACATCTGAGATCACATACGTTGTGAAGGCTTCATTTTGTTTTGCACCAATGTAGTAAGAGTAGAGGTTGAACATTCCAATCATGAAGGCCACAAACACCATGATGAATATGACCATGAACTTAAATATGTCTTTTACTGTTCTTCCAAGTGATATCTGCAGAGGTCCAAAGCTTTCATTTGCTGGTAGGATATAAGCTATTCTGGAGAAACTTAGAACTACAGCAATTGCATAAAGACCTTCAGATATAATTTGAGGATCAGAGGGGTCCCACTTTATCCTGGCTAGAAGAAAGGAAAGACAAGAATTATGGTGAGTTTCTTTAAGTTGACTATTTAGGTAACTTTTTCTGGTTAAGAATGTAATTACATTAGCAATCTAGTTCCCATTGGAACTCTCTGATCCTAAAGGGTTTCTTTAAGTATCAGGTATATTTGAGCTTGCAAATTTATTGAGAAAATGACCCCCCTGGTTCGCTGACTATAGCATAATGTTTAAGGGCTCAAACTATGAACTCAGTCTACATAAAAATTTCAGCAGATAGACTGGAAAAACTGGTACAAATCATGTAACTTCTCTTAGCCTTATTTTCCCATCCTTGAAAATGAGATAATATCACTCCTATCTCTTTCATCTGCTGTGAGAATTTAATGTCAACATACATTCTGTGGATAAAAAGTGTTTGACACTAAATAAATAGTAGCATTTATTATTTAATCTTAAACATAATTATGCTATAATGTAATTTTGGGCTTGTGAAATACTTGCAGTTACTTAAACTTACTAAAATAATTTTTGGTCATTCAAGCCCATTTTTATCATAAAAACAAGCAATTATTCATTTACTAATTTTGATGACCTGATATAATTACTATATTATATACCCAATAAAAAATACCATGAAAATAAAATCCAAAAACAATGTGTAAGAAAAAGGAAAGATATTATTATAAATTTGTCTTTTCTTATTTACTGAGAAGTGGAATTAGGAAAGGATACAAGAAACAAAAGAAGTTACCTTTTTATAGTGCTTTGAGATAAGTACTATATATAAACAGATAGATAGCTTTGACTTTATAAAATTCTGTATATTAAAAAATTAATTAAATGTTAAAATAAATACTAAAAATAATAACAAAAAAGAAATTCTTATGTGATATGGCAAATAAACCTGTAGAGATGTCAGTTGAGTGTGTTAACTGATTTCTTATCAGAGGGTTTAAAATAAATATTCTGAGGGAATCTATTTCTCCCACTCCAGGTTTCTACAAGAAGGCATTTTCCCTCAGCAAATAACTGAACCTATTTCAATCCTTTAGTCACTTTCCTCCTGGGGAGGCAGAATGACTTATCAGGTTGCTAAATTGGGATGGATAACGGAACATATCTGGTTCAGCTCTGCCCTCTTTTTCTTGAGAATTCTCCTCTAGCGCTCCATGGAGGAATCTCACATGGTCAGGCCTGTGCTGCCGCCCTCCTCTAGGGGTCAACCGCCCTGTGCTCTGCTGTCTGAAAATTGGAGGATTTCCAATTGTCTGCCTACTTCTGGGGTTTGCTACTGCTGAGCCCATTGAATAATGACTCAGAACTACGTCACTTACCCTGAACTTTATCAGAATAGATAAGAGGCGATGATTTGGCCTCCACATTAACTTTTGTTTTATTTCTCAACTAGTTCAAAGCCTGAGTGGGAAATAGTGATGTTATTTATTGGGGGCCCTTTCAGAAATTCCAATAATTCCATTGCTTTCAAATAATTTTTATGTCTTAAATGGAAATGGGACTCAAATGTGTACTTTTAATAGACAAGAGGATAAAAATACATCCAAGACATAAAACAGGCACTCTCAATAGAATTTGGTAGTTAGCCAATTGATCTAAAAGATAAGTGAGATAATTTCTGTAATTAAGAGAGGTTTCTAGCCAGAAGAAAAGTAAAGGGAAGAAGCAAAAAATGTGCTTGTTCAGATACAGATACCCTGAAGAAGCTGGAAACTAGTCAATAATTCAATGAGAATTGACAGTAACCAAACTTCAACTGACGTATTTTTATAAGAAAATCCTACAATTTTATTACCATATATTCACTGTGTACTGTAAACTCACCCAAATTGTAGTATTTCACATTGTCTCCCAGTGTGACTTTTGTTAAGTCCTTCAAAGTATCATTTGCATCAATGATGCTCTGAGCTTTGGAAGCATGCCAAAATGCCATGAACCTTGCAATGAACGATGCTGCAAAGATTGCTAACATACCAAAATCAAGCATATTCCACAATTCAAATAAATATTCCTTGGGGCCTTGAGTCCAAATTTCTTTACATTCAGCCCATATCATGCCTGCATTGGAAAGGGGTTAAAATATTAATTCTATTTTATTCCAGCCCTAGCTATTCAATAAAACAAAATAAATTTGAAAGGTTTCATCCTGATATTCAAAACCCTTCAACATTTGGTCCCATATCAACCACTCATCCATAATTCCCATGTCCCCCCAAATCTCATAGTCCAGCAATATCAGTGCATTATTTGAAGTCAACTTGATGATATTCATAAAAATACTTAAAAACATTATTTGATCCATTAATTCTACACATAAAAATACATTTAAAAGATGTTCACTGTAGGATTCTTTATAACCAAAACACAAACATGCACACACACACTCAAAATAGAATTATGGGACTTCCACAAGTAGAGAATTATGCCAACAGTTGGTATGATATTTTAATTGCCACGGAGTAGTGGTCATGAGAATGTAACTCACAGACCGCCAACTACAGATATCAATTGACCATGGGCCTCAGCTACTGCATTCTGAAAACAATGGTCACTTTTGTCCTACAACCATGCTTCCCATGGGCAGCTCCCAGCTAATGGCTGAGGACACCTCTTCTGGGGAGACATGGGAGTCCTCTAATGGCTGATTTTTTAATCAAGGATTTCCTGACAGCCTTACCAAACTTTCTTTGAACCGCATGGAGACTGGAGATGCTCCTTCCCAACTTTCTTCCCTCTCTCCTTCCCTCGTGGTCAGACTTGCATGCCCCGGAGAGCCCTTGCACCCTTCCTCCGCTTCCTCCCCATTTTCTCTCACATGAAATTTCCCCTAATAGAATTCCAACCTCCCTTAATACAAATTTCATAGATTTAATACAGTTTTTGCACATGCTTCTTGGAAGACCTGGACTAACATGGTGACAGATATTTGTCATAAACATTTAAACATGTTAAGTAAGAAAGTCAAATATGCTATGTGTTCTCTGGCTTTATGCTTCAAACAAGCACATTAAAAGACCAGAAAGATTTCAGGGTCCTATTAATAGTAGTTGTCTCTTTCTGGTAGATTTATTAACACTATTGTGCATTCCTCCTAAAACTTAGTGTTGTACTTAGGAACATAGGTTTTAGGATCAGATTGACATGGATTTGAGAACTTATCCTTCCACTTGTTAGCTGTGTAATCTTTGGCAACTTGCTTAAATCTTCTCAAACTCAATTTGTAAAATGGGTATGATAGTAGTTTGCACCTATTTCATAGAATTGTCATGAAACAAAATCATACATGTAAACTGCAGAGCACAGTGTCTGGCAATTGTGAAAAATAATGTCTAACATTTGTTGAGCACTTCTTATTTTTAAATTTCTATGATTGGCACATATATTCTTAATTTGAAGAAACTCACTTTATTATAAAGAGTGACTTTACCCCTACTACCTTTAAGATACCCCATTCTCTGACACCCTGCTTCCTCCAGGAGCCATGTGGAGGAATATAATCTTTAGATTCCAGCAATCAAACAAAACCTACCTCCAGCAAGAAGTCTTTCATAGTCCCTTAGTTGAAATGAATCTCCTCCCCTTCCTTACAGCAACCACCTGCCCCAAATTCTCACATTTGTCATGAACCTCCAACAGACAACCTGCATGTAAATGGTCTCTGCTAGCCAATTTACTATGCACTTTTCTCAAAACTATCATTCAGTGCAGCACAGAGTACATGATTTTACAAGAGGACAACTTCATTACTCTATTTTGAATTTTTCCACGTTAAGAGGGGACTAGGATTAGATTCATACATATTTTAGTGGATCAAATTTAAAACAGGAAATACTGCATTTGCACACTCAAATACACACCTCCTCCCCCAACTCCCAAAACTATGAGCAGGAATGAAAAATATCTGAAGGCAGCTTTTGTTTTGCGGCCTCTGGGTTCCTGTCAGCCTCCTCGATAGGAGACAAGGATGATTTAGGGAACAGAAGCACAGGGATTAATGGGACATTTGAACACATCTAGTTGTTTTCAAAGCTTCCCTTCCTTCATCCTCTCATTTCTCCATCTTCTCTCTCTCGTAAAATCATTGGTAAAACTATCTTAACAAAGCTTAACAAAAAACAATACAAATACAGCCAACTCTTCAGCCTAAAGAAAGAATTCATTTTATTTTCCCTGAGAGCCCTCGGGGGCTGCCAAGCATAATTCAAAGTCCCCCATCTAGTCCAACTTCTCTTGCGACCAAGGGGTTTCTCGGTAGGGGCCAGGCCTCAGCTGGAACCCGTCTGGAGACGAGGTGCTTACTACATCTGAAGGCTGCTCATCCCGTCGCTGAATTTGCAGGTAGTATCTGTTCCGTGTGGCCCTGTTAGTGTTAATTCTGCTCTATAGGACAGTAGAGAAAAAGTCTGCTCTCTCTGCTTTCTTTTTTTAATAAAATAAAATAAAACAAAGACACCTGTGTGCTCTGTTCTTCTCCAGCAGAGACAGGTTTACCATGAAGCTAATGAAATTTAAGTTTCAAGATGCCTTATTTGACCAGGCTCCTTCTAAAGCTGAGTGTTGTCTTCTTTTCCTCTAAGTGGGGCTCTCCAAACAAATGATTTTCAGGCTTCGCAGGCTCTGGGTCCCACCCCTCCCCCACCCTCCAGAGTAAGCCTCCTCAGTCCCCTCAAGTGCAGTCCTGTGGAGGCCCGCTCACTCTTCTGGCTGCTTTCTCTGGATGCTCCCTGAGCCACACACAACCCTGCACCTGTGGCCCCGCCACAGCGTGGACCAGTGGGCCAATTATAGCCCCTGACTGCAGTTCTGTTCTTTGGTTGAAGGGTCAGCCCAGCATGGCACTTGCTTCCTTTGCAGCTCACGCTGGACATTAAGTAAAAAGTGCTCCTCTGGACCTTTTCACGTGAAGTGGCATCGAGCGTGTCCCCCCTCCGAGCCCCTGTTTCACCTCCTCTCCCTGGTTTGAGCTCAGGGTTTAGCTTTGTGAAGATCTCCAGGAATGTCAAGTCTTCAAGTCTGTCTTTCAGCCTTTTGACTTTTATCAACAAAAAATTAGATAAACTTGCTTTCTGTGACCAATAATAAGAATCTTTTCCCGCAAGACACCTGACCTAAGTAGATCACTTATGAATATTTCCAGAAGGTACAACTTTCTTTTAAGAATAACTTCAAAAAGAAAATACCCATGTCAGAAACTGAACCAGAAGTCTAATATATGCTATAAAGTATCAGTTGTCTGTTCTGAGTTGTTAATTGTTTTCCCTTTAAATAAACACCATAAGAAAAATCTCTGCAATCAAATACAAAGGTTAGCAGCCAATAATTTGAAGAAAAATGTGTTTATTCATAAAATTGCAAGTTATTCTGGTATTCTTGGTTTAGGTGTCTAAAAAAAATGAAAAATGCCTAGTGTTTATAATAAAATATTAGTATAAGGAGAATGAATTATGCGTGATAAAGAATAAAATGGACATTTATTAGACCTAGTCTCCTTATATAAAATAGAATTTTTCAAAGTTTCACATTGAAATAGTCTATCTTGCTTGGTATGTTTTTAGTAAGAACTACCACTCCTATATAAAAGTAGAATATGAATTCTTAGTTAAGAGTTTAATAATAGTTATCTGAAATTTATTGAACTTTCGCTGTGTGCTAAACACTGCATCATGTACTTTGCATATACTAGTACATAGAAAGACAAACTATAACACATAGGCTTTTAGTCTAATAAGATCAAGGCAATGTCCAAATGATTGTTTATTCTTATTTTAAATCAAGTATTGGAGATGAAATGTAATATATGTTATAGTTTAATGGTGGGAGGTAAATGTAAATTAAATTAGAAAAATAATAGTGTACATTCAATGTCCTTTTTTTAATCTAAGATACAATTTACATTGTAAGCCACTCTCCATTTTTGTCTTTGAAACACAGCCAAGAAATAAGATGATTCAGAAGTTTTGAATAACAATGCTGTTAAATCACCTCATGTGCATTTAAAATGATCATATGGTAATTTGCGTAGTACTTCATAATACTTCAATTGATCATCCTATTAGACTCCAGTGTGAGGAAGCCAAGAAGACATCCCCTGCCCCATCAGTGTGGAGACCCAATCAGTGTGGAGTGGTCTCCAGATATTTTTCCACAGTTTCGTGGAAGACAATTTTTCCACGGACATGGCTGGGCAGGAGATGGGTTTGGGATGATTCAAGCAAGTTACATTCAAGCTCACCCCCTGCTGTGCATCCCGGTTCCTAACAGGCCCAACCTGTACCGGCTCACAGCGCAGAGGTTGGGGACCCCTGTATAAGTGATATACAACTGACTGTAGATGTTTCTCGAGACCACTGGAGGAGAACCAAGCTCATGGTTTAATTAACTAAAGGTTTTGAATGAAGGTTCCTTGAGTCCTTTTCTCTTTACACCCTATATATTTTCACCATAGGTCATATCATGCACAAGCAGGGCCTTAAGTACCATCCAGGAAATAAAATTGCTGAAACTTTATCCACAACACAGACTTCTCCCAGGGGTTGTATTTCTATTATTTAGTAGCCATCTGTACATGGAAATTCCGTGGCACTTCAAAGTCAATCACAACCCAAACCAAATAGCTTTTTTTCCTGCCAGACTCAAGCATGATCTTTCTGCCACATTCCCCCTCTTAGAGAATTACAGTCACCACCTCGTACTGCAAAGCAGAATCCACCGCTCTCCCTTTCCACTGAGTTTTCTGAAGTGTCTCTTTTAAGAAGCTCTCAAGTCCTTTCCCCATCCCCTCAATTCCAGTCCTCATCCTCCTCAGAGGAATCAATTATCTCTCACCTCCTCTAAGCCACCCTCTGCCTTGCAACCACTGTGACCTTTCTAAAATGTGAGTGATCTGATCACATCACAAACGCTGAAGATCCCCCTCTAGCCATCGTGCCACTCTTATCTCCCATCCTCCACAGCCACAAAAGCATCTGTGCTTCGCTGGGCCGAACTCATAACAGTTCACGTGCGCCAGGTGCAGTCCTAGTTCCACATCCTCACGTCCAATGTTTCCACGCCTGTAGCATCCTTACTCTCCCCAAACACTAGACTTGGTTAACATTTCCTTATCGTCAAGGTCTCAGATCAAAGTACTGTCCAAGGAGGCCTTCTTTGCCCCTTCTTCATACCACTTCACTCAGCCCAAGATGCCCAATATGTATACATTCACAACATCCAAACAGATCCTCAATTACAGTATGTATCACATAAGTTCTAATTACTGATTTACTTATTGACCTGCCCCCAGATTTAACTTCCTTGAGTACAAGGACTGTGCTTCATTCACCTTAGTAGCCCAACACTTAAAAGACACTTAATAGCTATTGAATTTATTCATCCATAAGCATCCAATTGGAATATCTTTCCATTTGCGTTATATTTAATGATGAGTCATATGTATGACTGATTGACAAATAGTGTGGTAGTTAACACTGCATTCCCTCTGTTTCACTTAGCACCTGAGAGCACCAAAGCAAATTACTTAATCCTCACACAAATGCTGTAAGGTAGGTGAGATTATCATGGTACAGAGCAGAAAACAGAGGCAGAGAGATTGTATGATTTGATGGATATAAAGTGCCTTGAACAATTTCAGGTATGTAATCTTCCAAAAATGAGTGACTATTAGCTTCAGTTCTTATTAGATTTTAATGTAAAATCATGTTGTTTTTAAGCTTTAAATAACAGCTCTCCCAAAATATAAATGGTGCATTTTCATCACTGATAGTATTTGACTACTGCCATCCTGCTTATCTTCTTCCTGGGTCTTTCTTGGGGCATGTGAGAAGATTAGGCCCTGCTGATGAACCCAAGATAACTCTGCTTTAAAAATGCAAAGAGAATCATGGTGTGTGGTGCATTGTGTCACGCTGTATACATTTGTATAACTGATGTAGGAAGAAATCTGTGTCATTCAGTCCAACTGCTAAGGCTGCAAAAATACATGATGACACAAAATCAGTCTTTACCTATTACCCAAGAGATAATGAGCATCTCCATCCACGAGAAGCAGGATGTTTTCATCCTGAACAGCTGTTTTGCATTATCTGTGCTGGTTTCATTAGGAAGGAGTTTGGTGCCTTCAAATCTGTCAGCTGCATTCATGACTAGCAGTCCCAGAAAAATGGTGAAGGAGGCTGCATGTGCTACAAACTTCATGAACGGTCCACGCATTATCTTCCCCATCTGCCACAACACACACCAAAAGAAAATTTTAGCTTTGTTATGCTTTGCAAAACACACAAGTATACAAGCATATACACAAGAATAACCACATGTGTACCCCAATATTCTCCTAAGGTAATGATATATATTTACGTAACTAGTCATAAAATAATTCTTTATGCTGTTATAAATTTTTCATCACATTCTTCATCTACATATGTTGATGTTCTGGATTGATAATTAAATAAGTTACCATTTCTATTCAATGATATTTAAATTCTTACATTACATAGTACTGACAAAATAATATTTTATTAATGTAATAATGACAAAAAGCAGAGCATAGTATCATCATTATTCATAAAAAGCAAATTAATTTAGTGGGCATGAAGTATTGAGGAAGCAGCAATAAAAATATTAAACTGAGTCTACTTTGCAATGCATAGACCCTTGGCTGGATATTGTCCTTGCTTGTTGTCCTCATGTGTATATTTCTCTGACATGGGTACAATCAGGCCTCAAGTGATGTTGCTATTTTGGTGATGTGGTAAATGGAGTAGAAGTCATGAGCACCAAAAAAAACTTTCAGTGGAGGAGAGGATAGCAGGGTAGTTCCATAGTGTATCAGAACTGGATTTAAAGTCCAACATTTTAGGTTCAAGTTCCAGTTTTATTCCTTCATTAGTTAAGTGGTAATAAGGGAATTTCCTAAATTATGTGCAAATCAAATTCTTCCTATGAAATATGGAGACAGTAAAAGCTCTTGTGCCTCTATAGTACAGGATTCATTTCCATCCGAGATGCACAGACTCTAGCTGGGGTAGAAGGATGGTATGTGTCTAGGATGTGTCTCAAGGGCTCTGTGCATCCCCTGAAATGATAAGCAAAGCACCGTATATGCCTGCTGTTTTTTCCATAGGAGAGGGCCCATAGCTTTCAACAGCCTTCCAAAAGAGTTTATTATTACAGAAAAATTCATAAATTAATAAAAATACCAACAACACAGTATTTGTTATGTGCCAAGTGCTGTTTTAAGTGTTTTACTGTTAACTCATGTAATCATAACAATCCAAAGGGGTACATGATAATAAAATGCATATTTTATAGATTAAAAAACTGAGAAAGTGAAGTCCAGAAACTCGCTTAAAGGTCACATAACACAAAATGCTGGAGCTGAAATTTGAACCCAGGAATTCTTGTTTCAGAGTTAATTTGGTTTACAAAATAATTTATTATTTTATCATTAAAGTACAAAGATAGGTATATGGAAAGTCTTAGAGAAAAGAAAGAACGTCTTTTTCAGTGAATAATAACTTTCTATGGTGCCATGTGGGTACTAGACTTACTGGGGGGAATCACTTTGTAAGTTATATAAATGTCTAACCACTATGCTGTACACCTGACACTACTAAAATAAATATTGAATGTTAACAGTAATAGAAAAAATTTTAAAAATTTAAAAGATTATAAAAAGTTAAATGTTATTATGGAAGGAATGTAATCAATGTTCTCTGTTCCTGTTTTATTTGTCTATATTATTTTCAAAGTCTTGAAAGTTAACTCTAGAATAAATCATAAATAAATCATTTTATTATTCATACATTGATCTTTTTCTTCTCCTCCTCCTCCTCCTCCTCCTCCCCCTCCCCCTCCTCCTCATCCTTCTTCTTCTTAAGACCCTTTAACATGTCTTGTAATACTGGTTCAGTGCCTTGTCTCTTGAATTTAGAATCTTAGGCCAGACAGGACATCAGAATATTTGCACAAGGGCATGTACATGTGTGTATCTATATCTTTCTATATCTTGTATAGTTTTAAGCCAATGGGTCCATCTAAATAGATATATTGTGAACCAATCCAAATTTGCTTTGTGAAAATCCACTATAAAAATCATGTCTAAGAAGCATACTTCCATAAGAATGCTTGTTATTTGACTCAAAGAGTATTTTTTGGTTTTGGGTTTTTGGGGGGTTTTTTGGTAGACCCTGTTTAAATAGAACTCTCAAAAAAATCCAATGAGGGCAAGGTTAAAACAAATGGGAAACAAAGTAGGCTTCATTTTCCTTTGCATGTTGTCCTTAGCTATGTTTTCTTTAAAATACAGACTGTTAACAAATGAACATAAATATGTTTTTAATTTCTTTTTCTATGGTGTATCACGTGTATAATTTTAATCCTACAATGTTTTGCATATGATTTATTTTATTCATGTATTATATCAAACTAAAAATGTAGCATGAGATTTAATAAGTTCCTAATGGAAAAACTATTATAAAACATTTTTTATTTTAAAATTATTTTTATTTTTTAATTACAATTGACATACAATATATTAGTTTTAGGTGTATACCCCAGTGATTAGACATTGGATAACTTATTAAGTGATCATCCCAATAAATCTCACACCCATCTCACACCTACATAGTTACTGGAAGATTATTGACTATATTCAATATGCTGTTCTTTACATCCCCTTTACTAATTTGTAACAATCAATTTGTACTTTTTAATCCCTTCATCTTTTTCATGCATCCCCCTAACTGCCCTCCCATCTGACTATTGTCAAAATGTTCTCTATATCTATTCTGTTTCTGTTCTACTTGTTTGCTTGTTTTGTTTTTTAGATTCAATTATTGATAGATAGTATTTATTGTCATTTCATTATTCATATGTTTTTCTTCTTCTTCCTCTTCTTCTTCTTAAGACCCTTTAACATTTCTTGTAATACTGGTTTGTTTAAGATCAACTCTGGAGTGATGATAAACTCCTTTGGCTTTTTATTGTCTTGGAAGCTCTTTTTCTGTCCTTCAATTCTAAATGATAGCTTTGCTGGGTATAGTAATCTTGGTTGTAGGTCCCTGCTTTTCATCACTTTAACTATTCCTTGGCAATTCCACCTAGTCTGCAAAGTTTCTGTTGAGAAAACACCTGACAGTCTTACAGGAGGTGCCTTGTAGGTAACTAACTGTTTTTCTTTTGCTTCTTTAAAGATTTTTCTCTTTGTCTTTAACTCTTTGCATTTTAGTTATGATACATCTTGGTGTGGGCCTCTTTGGGTTCATCTTGTTTGAGACTCTGTGCTTCCTGGACTTGCCTATCTATTTCCTTCACCAAGTTAGGGAAGTTTGCTGTCGTTATTTTTTCAAACAGGTTTCCAATTTCTTGCTCTCTCTCTTCACCTTTGGCACCACCATGATGTGAATATTAGTCCCAGAGGCTCCTTACGCTATCCTCATTCTTTAAAAATTTTTTCTTTTTGCTATTCTGGATGGGTGTTTTTGGCTTCCTTATATTCCAAATCGCTGTTTTGATTCTTGGCTTCATCTACTCTACCGTTGATTCCCTATAAATTATTCTTCATTTCAGTTAGTATATCCTTTCTTTCTTACTGGCCCTTTTTTATGGTGCTGAGATTCTTAGTATGTTCATTGAGCATCCTCATTATTAGTGATTTGAACTCTGCATTGCATAGATTGCTTGCCTCCATTTTGTTTAGTCCTTTTTCTGGAGTTTTGTTCTCTTTTTTCATTTGGGCCATGTTTCTTTGTCTCCTTGTTTTGGCAGCCTCCCTGTGTTTGTTTCTATGTATTACTACATAAACCTGCTACATCTCCCAGTCTTCGTAGAGTGGCCTGATGTAGTAAGTGTTCTGTAAGGTCCAGTGCAACAGCCTCCCCTATGACTCAAGCTGGGCACTTAAGGTATGCCCTCCATCAGCTGTGTATATCCTCCTCTTGTATTTGCTACTTTGTTGCTACTTGCATGTCAATGGGAGGGATTTACCCCAGGTTGGTCAGCTGCAAGGACTGGCTGCAACCAATGGCCACTGACTTCCTACCACCAAGAAGGATCAGTGATGCAGAGGCCCACCCTACAGAGCAGGATTTACTTCAGTGGGACTCTAGTACCTGCTGAGTCTGCCCCTTGAGTGCGTGCTTGTTGAAGTGGTTGGGTAGTGATGCTTTGGCCTGGTCTGAAGCTGTCTGCTGGGTGTGCTGGCTCTGGGGACTCCTGGGTGGTACAGGCCAAGGTCAGCTATGGACTGTATTCTGCCCTGGGCCACCCAGCATGAGCTACAAAAGAAACTGAAAATGGCTGCTACATGTGCTGAGTTTAGAGGTGCCCAGGCAAGGCCAACCTATGAGTCAAGTGTGCTAGTGACAGGACTGGAGCCACTGAATGAGAGGTATGGGATATGCTGAGGCCAGATGCTATTTGTCTAAGAGATTTTAGTAAAATCTGATGCATGAGCCAAGACAGACTTTTGTATGGAAAAATGACTGGAAACAGCTTGGGTAAGCCTGAAAGATGGGTGGCATGGGATCTTAGGGAATCACCAGGACAAGGCCAAAGGTGTTAGCCAGGTTGATGGAGTCTCAGGAATGGCACTTGCCTGCCAGGTCTACACAGGGAGGGCTCATCAAAGGAACGGTGGCCTCTGCCAACACTTCTGTCTGGGAGAAAGCTGCCTCCTAGTCTAGCCCTGACGCCAGATAATTCAGCTCCTCCCCATATGTCTCTGATGGTTTTAAAGCTGCTGCCCTAGGGCTAGAGCTCAGAGGGAGTGAGTTTAAGTCTGAGCATGGGTCCTTTAAGAGAGAAGATTGGGACTCCAGAAGCCTTCTGTCTCACTCAGCTACAATCCCTGCTGGTTTACACTGTCAGAAGTTATGAAGACTTCTCTTCCTGGGATAGGAGGCCTGGTGTGAGGCTGAGACCCCTCGCACCTCAGAGGGGACCTCTGTGGCCAAGATATCCTTCCCAATTTTTATCTGCTACATGTAGGTATAATACCAGCTCATTCATGTTTCTATCCCTCCTAACAATCTCAATGTGGCTTCTTCCTTAATTCCCTTGTTGTAGGAATTCCATTAAGACAGATTTCAGGCAGTACTGAATGATGTTGTTCTGTAGATTAGTTGTAATTTTGATGTGGTTGTGGGAGGAGGCAAGTATCGTCTTTACCTATGCTGCCATCTTACCCAGCTTTTGTAAATTTTAAACCAATTTTGTAAAATTCTCAATTTATTTGACTGCTGTGAAAAGCTGTGATTGGAGCAATGATAGTAGTGAAATCCATGGCAAATTTATTTATTTTCCGCCTTGTTCCAGAAAGAATCAGCGGCTGCCTTCAAAATATTGTACAAAGTTAGCCGAAACACAAGAGAGCACAAATTAAAATAGGAGAAGGAGAAAGCAAAAGAGAAGAAAGAAAGAAAAGGTTAGGGACATACAACAGGGTTGAGAATAAAGCTATCTACATTAGAGTACACCACAAGTCTGAAAACTCTGGAACTTGAGTTTTGCTATCCTGGACACATCCAGAGTCGATGTTCACTTATCCAGGGCAGGGCCTCTGATCTGTGCCTCACTCCTAACCTGGCCATCCTGCCTTCTTCATCAAGTTACTGGCCTCTATGTAACATCACTCCTTTATGTTATTCCGAAGAGACAAATGAGAATCAAACCAGGTATTTTTGCAGCTTATTAAACATCCTAGTTTAAAAAAAAAAAAAAGCAAACAAACAAATAAAAAAGAAAAAGTTTTCCCTGTTTGGTGTGGCTGAGTCGGTTGGAGTGTTGTCCCATAGACCAATCTCATCAGGGCACATGCCCAGGTTGCAGGTTCAATTCCCAGCCAGGCATGTATGGGAAGCAACCAATTGATGTTTCTCTCTCATATCGATGTTTCTGTCTGTCTGTCTCTCTCTTTCTCTCTCTTCACTCCCCCCCCCCAAATCTTCTATGGCTCTCTTCTTCTACCTCTGTGACATCCCTAAATAAACTTTCTCTTATAATTTGAGTCTTGGCTCTGATGATTCTTCTCAGCCAGAACTCAAGAACTGAGGTTGCTAGACCGAAGTTAACACTTGGTACCATCTTTCTGCTGCTAACAAAATCACTGAGAGTAGTGTTTTTCTTTAAACAATGGCAGATTTTGGTACCATTTCATGGACTTTTGGAATTTAAGTGATTTCCCATCTTAGTAAAATTTCTCAGTTGTATCTTCAGAGATGTAAACAAGTTTCTGAAAAATGACTGTAAAGGAGGGGATTCATCAACTGAACAAGATGAACAATTAATGTACCTGGCAAATTATTGAGTGGAAGCATTGAAAGAGATACTTGCTTTTAAATACTGTATATCATACTCTTTGAATTACTTACTGATGACCAAATACGTAACTATCAAATAAGAAAAAAGGCTGACACTAACGTAAACTTAAAATGATTTGAAATCATAGCATGACCTATTTTATTATAATGAGCATAAAGTAATTGATATTTGGCTTACAGTGGAAAATGAAAACAAGTTAGGGCAAAAAAAAGGTTTCTGAAAGGAGAATAAAGCAAATTTGAAGAAAGAAAACCAACTCCAAACAGAAAGAAGACTGCCAAGGTGCACAGGATTACAATTTGATCTGACTAAACCTGAATGGATGTATCAGAAATTTTTAAGTATTTAAAATAGTACTTCCAATAAAAGCATCACTATACCTTAAGCAATCTTCCTCCATAAAAAACCAATTCTGTAAACTATAAATAATTTTTATGTTCACTGTTAAATGGAAAAATTAGAAAATGGATTTTTTTTATCATGCTTCAAAGGCTAAATAACAGTCAGTGAAAGAGATTTTACTATGAGAAGAAAATACCTTGACAGTGTCCTTTTAATTTGATTATTTGCCTCACTGTCCATAAATGAGGATGGGAAACAGTTGCCAGAAAGAAACATGGCCAGGGAAGGATAACTAGTGAAGGAAATCAGTTTAATTAGGATTCAATACAAATTTAGGAAACGGGTAACTCTAAGGACTGCTAAAAATAATCTCTGTCAAAACACCAAACACTCTGGAAGACATTATGCTTTTGAACTCACTGGATAGGGGAAAGGACAATTATTCGGTTAGAAAATCTATTATAATGTAATTGATCACAGGATGACATAATTCAGAAACTTTCAGATGGTCCATCAGACATTTCGCCATATAACTTTAGAACTATTTCAGTCTGACTCTCAGAATTATAACTTAAATAGGTCCAGAAATGTGGCTTCAAAAGCATGGAAAATAAGATTGTTGGCAGTGCAAGACAGACAAATGTCTGTGCCTGTTAACAGAATTCAAACACCTGAACATTTTCAGACTTGTTCTGTCATGCTAATGAAAGGCTAGGTCCATTTGAACATATTTTCACCAAAGCCTGGGCAGACAGATTTTGGGGAAAAAAAAAAAAAGACTGTCTTTGCTGTCAGGTTACAATGTATGCCAGCCCTAAAATAAATATTCTTCACTGAAAGTACCATTACTTTAGTTTTACTATGACTGCCCCTTATTTAAATTAAGATTTATCTGGTCATATTAGCAAAAACAAATGCAAAACAAAAATTTTTATCTCAAATTTTGCCAGAGGAAAAAATAAAGAGAGAAAGCATGTTTATCTTTTAGAATGTTATTTGAAATATCTGCTCAATACATGCTATAACCTCATTTAAACATATGCATAGACATAACTAGAGAGAAGACAAAAGGGAAATGCACTAACATAATAACTGAGTCTTTCTTTTGCATGTTAACAATGATGGTATTATAGGTGAATTTTCCATTCTTTCCATTTCTTTCTCAATTTCCTAGTTAATAGATGTTATTTTTGCAACATTAAAAATAATAAGATTATTTAAGCCAAATCTGACCTTTGTAAAATTTTCATTTGGGGAATATAACTTTCCATGCATAACTGACTCTATGTTATGCAATTAGACATGCTTCTAGCAGATAACAGAGGTCCAGATTTCACAGACATACCTTGCTGCATGGAGCAAACCAGTAAATGAGAGCCAGGAAAGGCAGTCCAATGGCAACGGCAAGGACCACGAGAAACTTGACCGCCATCGTCTGCTGCCGCAAACCAGAAAGGTTCTCATACCATATGGAGAGAAGCTGCTGTTGACAATTTGGATGAGCTACAAACTAGCAAGAAAATGACAAAACATTTAGCAGCTTAATTAAAGAAAAGTTTAATATAAACTATTTTATTTTTTTCTAATATTTTGTTCTGTGCTTTCCCATGAAAAATATTATTAGAATTAAAGAACAAACATAAGACATCTAGTTGATAGGTGGTGCCTATAGTTGATAGGCACCAAGCAGGATGGCAGGGTGTTCTAATGCGTATTACATAAATTAGAAGATTCCAATTTATTAAACTTTTGCTTTATAACAAAGGGGCTTTCTTTCAAAGCAAAGAACATTTTTTGAAATTTAATATTATAAAAAGATTCATCAATGTTTTATACAAGGACTTTTATAATTATGTGTTTTTTTTCCATCTAGGAAGAACAACATACAGACCCTGCTAGTCCAGATGTTTAAATACTTTTTAAAAGAAGTATACCATCTTTCTGTACTGACATAAAACACTAAAGTTATTTTATATGAAATTCTCATTTGTATATATGAGTCTGTTTATGGACTGCCTATTCTATTTCTGTGCCATAAACGCTTTCAATCAAAAAAAAATTTTCAGATTTTTTTAGTTCTCATATATTTAATTTATTAAATTGATCATGGTAGCACTGGTTAATATCATTATGTAAGTTTCAGGTGTAAAATTCTATAATACACCCTCTGTACATTGCATTGTGCACTTAACACCCAAAGTCCAGACTCCTTCCATCAACCATATATTTGGCCCCCTTTCTCTCCTTCATTCTCTCCCCACCCCCTTCCCTTCTGGTAACCATCATACTGTTATCTGTGTCTGTGAATGTGTTTTACATATTTATTTTTAAAAATGATCTCTACATAGGACAGGGGACAACTTTAATATACAAAAAGCAATAATCTAAAATTTAAAACATTGATAAAGAATATTGAAGGATTAATAAAGGATGAGTTACGTAAAGGAACTGCAAATGATTCTTAAGGATGTTGTTAACCCTGAAGATAATACAAGATCTGATGTTTATCTTCTCAGAATGGTAAAGTTTAATAATACCTGCTGGGAGGGGAAGAAATAAGCCCTGTTATACACCATTATTGGCCTGTGTATACTGGTGCATCTTTTCTGAAGAGAAACTTAGCAGATGCTTTGAAATTAAAAATAGAAATTTGCCATATTAATTGCACACTTGGGAATTTTTTCTACAGATAAAACTCATGCAAGTGAGCAAGCTATATAAACAAGTATGTTTACTGTAGCACCCTGTAATAACAATAACCAACCTAAAGAAAATAATGAACTTCCTTAAACAATAAACTGATTAAATGATTGGAATGATATACCGATGCATCCTTTGAAAAGATGAAGTGGATGTTTATTTACTGTGAAGATGTCTAAGATATAAATTTGTGGAAAAAATATACTAGTGATTGACTATTTTCTATAAGACCTGGGAAGACAGAAAGGAGGTATATCTTTACTGTTTGGAAACTTACCATAAGCATGTAGTACCTTTATTACTAAACTTAGCTTCAAAAAAATTTTTAAAGGTATCATGTATAACCTAAGAAAGCAGTAAAGGATATGGGCGGGGGGCAACTATATAGAGACAGAGTAAAAATATTCCACAAATAAAGACATAGTTGGAGGAGATTCAATTGCACTGAAGAAGGAATTGGAATGTAACAAATGCAGTTGAGTCTTAAATAATGATGTTCCCATCATATAACAAATGCCTTGAAATTTAGATGCACAAAAGTCATGGTTATGTCATTAGTTAAGGACAGGAGTGACATCACTGCATGAGGAAATCAAGATTTTAAAGACTGGCATTCCGTGCAGGTGAGATACCTCCTAACTAGGCCCTTAGGATTCGTCTGTCTGATGCAATTGTTAATTAGAAAAACCCAGTTCATTTAACTGTGCCAAAGCTTCATCCTTATTTAACACCAATACAAACCAAAATAATGTAAATGGGCTTCATGCCTGACCTTACTTTTTTTACTTCATATTTAATGGCAAGTTTTAAACGGCTGAGATTTGGTCGACCATGCTCTCCACCACTGTGGTGTGTTTCAACATCCCCATTCAGAATGGCCTCAACTTCTTCAGTATTTCTGCACAGATCAAGGAGTCCGACAACAAAATCTTTGCACTGCATTGACAGTTTCTTGTAGTCATTCTAGGAAACAGAAAGAACAAAAAAATAATGTAGAAGTAGCACCTTTTACTATGATCCCCAGGGGAATTTAACAGTAACTTGGTTTGCAGAGGAAACAGAGAGCAAACTTATTTTTTAGGTTTACTCTTCTTTTAATATGCTTAAATTGCTGTCCTGCTGAGTGATCTCTGAAATATCTTAGCACCATAAATATTTTCTTCATATTCTAAAAAAGGAAATTTGTCTAAGGCATGATCAAATTCACCTGTTGATTCAGGAGAAAAATAAAATAAGCAACTTTCTCACTACTTTGCATACATCGTATCTCTTATGTTCATACTTCATCAGCTAGGCACTTAATAGACATTTGGTAGATCTTTGGAAGACTGTGTGAATCGTGTTGGTTAACTTGAGAAAGAGGACATTTGGAGAAGTTCTGGAGAAAAACAAACACATATCGCTTATATATTTAATAAATAGTTATTGAGGAACTTCATGTGCCAAACATGGAGCCAAAAGGCAAGTGTAATATAAAGTCTACAGATTCTTTTCTTCAGAGAAAAGAAAGTTTAATGAAAATGCTTTCATTGTAATTTATCACTGATGTTCTAGTAAATGCTAGCAAGATTTAGAGACTGCAGATCTTATTTAAACACCAAAACTCATGTCAAACTTATACACAGCATGAATTCACACATTCACCCAGGTCTTTCTAATATTTCCTTCCTCTTTACTCTCTTACATTGAAATAAGACCATTTATAACCCAGTGTTAATCAAGACAGCCAACGAGTTAGCACTTGTTGCATTGCAAGTGGATTATATTATCTCATTTCATCTTCATAATCTCTTGCTCTGTTATGTTAAATAATGTGTCCGACACCCTGCAGCCACTAAGAGTCAAAATCAAGTTTTAAGCCTGTTTGAGCCCAAACCCTTTGCCTTTAAAAATGATGCCACTTTGCCTCTTCTTTATAAAATATTTTCTATTTTTATCTTGAAAAACTAGGAGGCAAGCAGGACAAATACTATTCCCATATTGCACATGAAAAAACTAAGGCCTCCTGAGTGTTACAGCTTCAGTGGCAGAGTATTCTCTGAAAACCAGCTTTGCAGATTCACAGTTAGCTGTCTCTTCCATCGTAAAGCCACCAATATGTTTTGGAATAAAAAGATCCCTTGGAGAGATCAAGAGAGTATGTTGGAGAAATACGATAAGCTCTGGGTATCGGTCAATATGGTAATATTTTGGAGAAGGCTATAAGAAAATAACCACATAGTCGGTATGTGTAGAGTACCTACTAAGGCTCCTCTCTGTAAATCATGCCAAGTGACCTTTCAATGCATTTAGGAACTTATAAATAGGCTATACTTTGCTAACTGCAAGTCTAAACTGTTTCTTTAAAAACAAACTGATAAAAACAAATTATGTCTTAGCTGAAAATGGCTCAAACCAGTTCTAAAAAAGTATCTGGTCAGTTAGTATAAGCAGAGTTACAAGGAAACAGCTTCACCGTTTATCTGTAAAATAATCAGTAAAGGTCATGGGGACAAACACTGAGGTGTGAATGTGCAGATGTTATGGATCTACTATATCCTAGTCAAAACTTGGACTTTTAGAACTAAGTGTACCTTTAATCATATCCCAGATCTTCCATTTTTTAGCCATGTGGTCTGAAATACATTAAAATTATGCTATGAAGCAGGTGCTATTGTTGGTCTTATTTTAAGATGAGAAAACTAAGGCTTAGTGAAATTAAACAAGTGTAACAAGATGAAACATGCAAAGCTCATAGCATAGTGATGAGCATTTAGCAAACATTCAATAAAACATAATTATTTTATTTTATATCATCAAAGGCAAGATCTGAAAACAGGCCATTTCCTGACATTCCTAAGAACTTGTGGAGCTGTGACAAAATCTAATGCACCTAACCTCTCCCTTCTGTAGTGCTCAATCCTGGATGTATCCTTAGTCATTTTAAAGTCAAAAATGTAATGATCAAAATCAATCCTCTGTAAAATTCTCAAAAGGCTCACAGTAACCATCATTGATGGTTGAAATCAATGAGGACATTGAAAAAGAGAGTATGATCCATCAACTGTGAACCACATGGACTGAAAAAGCAAGTAAAAATATTTTGTGCTGTTCCATACCTTGTTTCCAATTTATGGCTAATTCTCAAGGAAATTAAAAACCCATTTTAGTAGGGAAAAAAAAGGAAAGAATAAGATTCTGCTTTTAGAAATACATGCTTTTTTTTTCACCTTGGGAATCCATTTACAAAGGTTTTCATATTTTAAGATCTCTCAAATGGACATGTAAACTCATTTACAATGAAATGTTGGCAGCAGTTCATTAGCCAGATGCAACAGTGTTTTGGTTCCTTGGAAAGAAAAGTGAAACTGGCATGTTGATTTAATTCTGGGTCATGTCTCTGTGTCACATACCCACACCGTACAATACAGTATAAAATCAGAAGTGAGTGCTTGCCTATTAATATTTGAGTTGAAAAAAAGATGAACTGATAATGGGCTAATAGGACAGAGTTTAGAGATTATAAAACATAAAAATGTCCCTGTTAAAATTATCTTTTCAAAGGGTCATCTTAGTTGCATATTACAAAGTAGAAGAGATGTTAAGATCTGTAACTGTAATGTCTGGCTCTTCTGTCTGTACAAAGAATGAAGTTTGAGTCATAGAAATTAACAGAGAAAAAGCATGCCTTAATTCTTTTACTAATCAACAGTCTGGCCTTTGGAGAAGGGCAGACCTGGGTTCAAAATTAGGAGCAATCACCTTGAAACTAGTTGTGTTGGCTTTGGGCAAATGATTTACCCCCATAAAAGCCTGAAAATCCTCATGTATAAAATGAAGATAATACCAGTACCCATTTTCAGGGTTGTTGTGAAGATTTTACTAAATATGAATGCCAACTTCTTGGTAATTATTAGGATTATTGTTTTCATAAACAATATTCAGATGTTCTCATCCCCTCAGCACAAAGTTGTGCTAACAAATACAAAGCACGTTGGGATTCCTGGGCAGCATCATACATTCTTTAACAAACTTTCTATGCACCAGTTGTGTGAGAGATACCATAGTCTTGCTGAGACAGTTGTTTTGTAAAATGTCATTATATGCTTGAAGATTAAGGTAAATATTGAATATTATTATCTGTTAGCCAGCCATGCTTCTTGGGACCACATGTAACACTGGGTCTTTCCTGTTCTTAGAATTACTGTCACTAAGTGTCATGTTGATCACTGAGATCTGTTAAAGCAGATGTGATGATTTACAAGTATTTACACAGAACCTACTAGGTAGGATTGTAAGGGTATATAAGTTACGCTACTGTTCAGAAAAGGTAAAGAGATGAAATACAATTTCAAATGTAAATTAAAGACATTTTCTTAGATATGAGAGATACTACTAACTTTCATGTTGATTGTTGGCCATCATCAGTGGCTACATATTTAATTTAACACAGTGTTTGATAACCAGCCTTTATTGTTCCCTTTACATAGAAATTCTCAGGTCCACTGAAGCTGGCAAAGCAGCAGTGAAGCAAACAGGTGGCTCCAGGGGCTGAGGCCTCTTATGCAAATTGCTGCACTGAACTTCCCTCCCTAACTGCTGACTTGCCTTAGATCTAAAATCCTGCCACAATGAGATTTTCTCTGTCCATCTATTTCAAATTGGGATCAGAATTCAAAGGCAAGAACATACATACACACTCATATGCTTTAGAACATTTATTTGTTTATGTATCTGCCTCTCTTGAGTAGATTCAAATATCCTTCAAAGCAAAGACTACTATGGATCTTACTCATCTCTGAGTGGTTACAACCTAGCATAGAGTGTGTCACATGGTAGATAATCAAAAATGTTATTGACTGATGTAAAGATAGGAACATGGCTGGGAATAAAACATACCTGGGATTTTAATTTTTGCTCTGCTACTTAATATTTATGTAACCTTAGAAAGGTCACAGTATTTTCTAGCTTTCTGCTAATTTCCCCTAATTATGGAGAACTTAAATGTTGCTACATCACAAAGTTAGAGTGTAAATCACTTAGAATAATTCATAAAGTTCAATAATGGTACCTGTCCTCCTTCCTCTTTGGTCTTGATCCCAGCCCTGTGCTTCTGATACTGTAATTTGCCTTGTAGGCTACTTAGCACTCTCATTACAAAGTGACATCCTTTGTCACTCTGCTAAGGTCTGATAACAGTCACACTGCCTTTCTGCTAACAAAAACTATTTTTCAGACCAGTCAGTTTCTTAAAGAATATTTCTTTCAAACAATGCCAGACATTTTTGAGCATCGGAACACCAGAACATAGCAATGGTTTAAAAAGAGATGAAGCAGGAGTTGCTCTGCGTTCCCCTTTCTCAAAGTCAACAGCAGAGGCGTCTGGAGGGCCATGTACATGTTCAGGCACAGATCCCTGGGAAGACATGAAGGATCTGCAGAAGCTCCAGAAAAGTTGCTTCTCCAGTGTGACAGAGAAGATGACAATCCCTGAAGTATAAAAGAGGTTACTTTAGGGTAAAAAAAATTTGTTGCCACAAGCAACCTAAAATATCAGTAAGTTCAAAAGGGGTTTAGAGACATAAGTCATAGGCATGTAATGAGACACTAGAAGGAAATTAGAAATTTGGGAGAACATATTTGCCGACAAAACCATCCCTGGTGTTGATCTCCTTGTCTGTAAGATTATTCTACCTTGTCTGAATTTCATCTGGAGTCAAGGAGATGAGCCAGCAGTCATGTTCTCTTGACATCGAAAAGTTAAGTTCTGGGTGTTCCATTTTGTTGTTGTTGTTGTTGACTTGATATTTGTTGCAAAAATTAGGCTTAGCCAAAGTTTAAGGTGGCTGAAAAAATTTAAATAAAAAAATTGAATTTGAATGGGTGAAAAATTTTGAATCTGGTTTCTCCCCATTCTCTTTAAAGACATGCAGTTATTCAGGCCTATTAGTATTCTTTTTATTCCTGTGACTTCACCTAATTGTTAGATTTCTGTGCTCTGGTCTGGTTGTACTTATGCATGGGGCCAGCTACAGACCTGGTGATAAATGCATTTTGTTTGGTTTAGGAGATTCAAGGAGCAAACCTAAAATTGCCCATGGAACTCAGTAGCAATTCATCCGTCCCCTTATTAATGAAAGGGGAGGAACTGGGAGGAGCTTAGAGAAGCTATATGTCAGATCTTACAGAAATTTTTGTGAAAGTTCACATTCTCTGACTCACAAAATAGATTATTTGCCTTGAAACAGAGATGCAGAGTGTTTCCAAGGGGCCACAGAATATTGATAGCCTTTAGGGAATCAATTTCCAGATCCTCAACTTTCCTAAAACCTATTTCCTTAAAAATATGTCTTTTGCCCTCTTACAAAGGAATTCTCCACTTTTGCCTACCCATGTAGCCAGCAATAAGGGATCTCCTTTTAATGATTAATCCTGGTACCATAGACCCTGAGGGGTCCCTGAATTGCCCTGCCCTAGTGCACATTTCTGTTGAAGATGAGGCTTAGTAATAGAAATACAATGTGCTGATTCATGTTATGATGTTATGAATTTAGAAATATGCTACAGTGTAGTGATAGGAACAATAATAACTTTTGCTTAATATACTTCCCTCTTCATTATCCAAAAATCATCAAAAAATACAACCCTCTTGAATGACAGTCAGTGAGAACAAAGGAAAAGAAAACTTCAGTAGAAACTACTGAATACAGAAATAAATTTTTCATGTACTTAAATGTGTGATTCTTTTAAACTAGTCTGAATACTCATCTTTAGGATATATCATTAGCTAAAATGAAAGGCATCTGAAATGACCAAGGTACAAAAAAACTAGTGAGGATGATTCTTTTTAATACAACTTGGAATGGATTCCAGGACTCAAATTCTCCATAGGACATTGGCTTACACACATGGATAAAACTTTTATGTGATTTTTTTTTTCAGATTCAGTATGTGTAATTGACTAAGGTAGTTATCAAACCATATCAAGAAATATTTATTCCACCTACAACCATCTTTTAATTTTATTCCATACAATCTTTAATAATTTATATAGCTTATTAACAAAAACTAAAGTAACATGCTGGCTTCCTTACCAAGATATTTTTAGCAGGATACACATTTTTCTTTCATTGAATATATAACAAAAGTATAGACATGATTAATCCCACTAAAAATTTATTTCCAGTGAGAACTGTGTCATATAGTAAAACTTATTTTTCAAAAGTTGCATGTATTTGTTATATTAAACAATGATGTTTAATTTATGTAATTTTGTTCAAATGCACAAATAATAGATGTGAAATTAACTCTTTCCAGAATATTTTTAATACCCAGAGCCTTATTATGATAGGAAACTAAAAAGTCAAATATATATATATTTCATATACATATTTTACATAAACATATATAGGTATATACATGTATAAAATTGTGTATATGTACTGATTATGAGAGACTACAGTAAAAGCTATTACATTAGAAATCACATTTGTGGAGGAAGTTGGACTGAAAAAGGAAAGATGTAGCTATTCTGAATGTTAAATTAGAGGTTGTTCACTTATTTTTAAAATAGCTGTTGAAGGACATCACACCATTACAGCATTTAGAGGCCTCTGGATATATCTGACAGAGCAATTTAAGAATTTTATCTTTAAATGTTAGTATTTATACCCTGCAGAGAGTATGCATGCACCTCTCTAATCAAATGGTGACTTCCCTCAGCTTGTTCATCTTCCTGACCTCAACATCATGGATCACCATCCTCTGAATACAAACACAGTGTTTTATAGGAGAAAGAACCTGGGTTTTAGAGTACAGCATACCTGGATTCTGATCCCAGCTCTGTCATTTACCAGTTGTTGATCTTTGGCCTTATTTAACCTGTCTATATCTCCATTTCTCCAACTGAAAAGGAACTAATATCTTCTCAAGGTTGTGATAAAGATTGGAAATAACAACTATAAAATGTCTAGAATATCTCTAAATGGTAACAGTCATAACTTTTACTACATATAATTATAACAAAAAGCTTGTTGGAAAAAACATAAAATTCCCCAACTACAGTAACTAGCATAGTGCTGAGCACACAGTGGAAGCTTGTAAATATACCTTGACTTTGACTTGTGAAGGGTGAAGTCCTTATGTTAAAGACGTACCTTGAACTCTTTCTCAATGTTGGCCAGCACTGCTAGCTCATTACTAAGCTCTAAAGCTGTCATGACTGGATCTTCACTAGATAATGACAGATAAGCTGGACTTGCCAGACCTTTATAGGCATTAATCCTAGATCTGGAGTGGCTAAAGGAATCATGTTTCTGTTTCTGGTTGCATTCACTGCATTTGCAGAAATAGTCATGAGGCCGTTCAATCCGAGCCCCCTTCCGCAAGAGGGTATGCACAATCTCATACTCCTGGCAGTGGGCAGCCAGAACGATCGGAGTCACATCATGGGAGAACCGTGTGCCATCTTCATCATAGGCATAAAAATCATCTTGCTGGAGTTCAGACTGGCTGGGGCTGGTTGCTAACCTCTTTCCTTCAGCAAAAGCTGGATGATTGAGAATGGCTTCCACGATCCGAACGTAACCTTTACTAATAGCTAGAAGCAAGGCATCCCCAACACGAGAGAGATTTTCTTTCCTGAGTAGAAGTTCTGTAATTTCCAGATGCTCATTGGCCACAGCCAACTGCAAGGCATTCTGGCCCATGTAATCCACACAGTTAACATTGAGGGAGAGGCATTCTTCCAACATCTTCCTCACCACTGGGATGTTGCCATATTCAGCTGCATCTAAAAAGCGCTCCTCCTCAGCAGATAGGCTTGTTGAATGATCGTTAAACATGTACGCTGGTCCTCGGTTAGCTAACCTTCTCCCCTTCTCACGGAGAATTGTCTGCCCCCGGTGGGCCAGTCTGTTGTCGGCGCCTCGACTGTAATAAAATAGAAAAATTGTTAACAAATCATATTAAGAACAATTTAGTGTGCCAAATGACTTACCATCTAATGCAATCCTCCAGTATATTAGATGTTGTCTCATTGTCTCTAGACCAACTCTAATACAAAATGAAGATGCATTTATTTGTTAATGGATTCCAAGAACATTTCCTTTAAGAAAGCCAAGCATTTTAACATTTCAATTTAGGGTGAGGACCAGCAATTCCCATAATCTCTCTGTGCCATTCACATAGAGATTAATATGTGTTTTTCAATCACAGATGGCATAGACATAAGAAAGACCCATGATCAGTCACCATTATGATATGGAGTGTGAAAATATTTTTTAAAATGTCAAAAAATAACAATTCCATTCAACTCAACGTATACTTATTGAGTCCCCCCTATGTCAGGGCCAGACAATATATAAGGCCCAGAACAACCAATGTGAAAAAAAGAAATTTTTCTGACCTTTTAACTCTTGTAGTCTAAAGGGAAAATGGGCAATTACCACAATACCTTGTTATCAGCTGTTTAATTGTCATGATAAACCTATAGCAGGGTCCTCTATCTTAGCTTATAGGAGAAGACAACTTGCCAAAAATAAAAAGATGAGTAGGAGTCAGGTGAGAGTGTGTTCAGAAAGGTGAAACAGGGGTCAGGTGCAGATGGAGCGCTTTCTCCAGGAGAGGGATCAACTATATGCTACTGCATAGATTTCATTAACAGGGAATATTAATGTTTGACTCTGCCAGGTGTTGTTTTAAACATTATTGAAAATTTAAGACAATTGTGATCAAGATTGAAGGTGGGAAGGAATTCTTCTGTGATGGAGAGAGTTTTCAAAGGGGTAGCCAGTCTTCAAAGTGGTCCTTCAGTCTGTGATATGAAGAGAAAGTGATTTCTCCTGTAATCAAAATTCTACAATTTTTTTCTTATTGAGTCATAACTTTTTGTCTTAATGTCTTTTTGAGCTTGAAGGGCTCAAGGCTTATCACTAGCACTAACTGGAAACCCAAAAAGGACAAATTCCTACAGAATAGAAAAATATCCAGTTTTAGGGGAGACTGAAAAGAAGGAAAAATTGTGATTGATTATTGATGTGATTAATGCCCCCTCTCTTTATAAGAGCCTGTTCACTTTAAAGATACTCGCAAACTCCCCAGTATGAAGAGAATTTAACTAGATCCAAAGACCCCATAAACCATATTCCCATACAATGTGGCCAGGCCATCTTGATACCAAATCTCCAGGCAACGTTGTCTAGGGTAGAGTGATGCACAAATAAGTTAGCAACATTTCAGCAACTCGGAAATAAATTATGGTTCTCCAGGGAGCTTGAAGAGTATGCTGCCATATTCACAAATGTTTTTCATAGATTTTCATTCAACACTAAATCCTTTAGCCATCCCAGGCTTCTTCAAAAACAACCAGGCCTGATGTTTTATAAAAGAGACAACTTTATAAATGACATGAAGGGCCTACAGCCAGACATTAATGAATTCGAAGATGGATCTTTAGATAATGTATATGTAATTTTTATTAAGTAAAAAGGGAATAATTTCTACAGCTATTTTGCTTTCTCTAGCTATTTTTTGTTTTCAATTCCCTTTTTAATTTTATCAGTTATGCATGTGCATAGTTTAAGGACTTATAAGCTTGTTACAAAAACCAGCCAGGCCCTTGTCCATCACTTTCTCCATTTCCAGATCCCCAGTAACAATAAATTTCAACTATTTTAGCTGATTATTTGATAATTTAAATCCTTATACACACATGACTTGCTAATATTGCTATTTCTTTATTTTCTAGATTTGGCATTATCTATGGACTTCCCATTATGAAAGTTCAGGATTTAGCTCACTTTCCCAATCTCCCACCATGCCTTCAGACTCACATAGACACACGCAAACCAACCTCATAGTCCTTTACCATTCCAGTATAGTCACATTATAACTTTTGTTAGATAACTATTTACATTAGGGCAATGCAAATGCTAGTCATAGCAAGTAGTATACTATGTCTTTTCTTGTATAGCTTCCCTATGTCCTGAAACCCAGTAGTTAAAAATTCTCTTTCTATACTGATATGCTTAATGTTCTAGATATTTATGATGAATTCAACAAAATTCTTTTCGTCAGTGTAAATCTTTTAATACATTCCACATACTTTGTGTTTTTTCAGTTTTAGCGTCTTGAAAGATCTCTTCTGTAATCTGCTAATCTGCCTCTAATTGGGACTGTTGCAGTCTAGATTTGAGGAGTGGATGTTTTCTTTGAATCTTCCTTTTGGCATCATCCCAAGAATTCTCATTATTTTGCTTCTATGTTGGGTTTCTTGTTTTCTGTATCCCAGATCCTCCTTTTTCTCAGTTTATTCCCACATCTAGTCCAGCATATCCTTCAGTAGCTGACTGAGAAATCATGCATGGGGGGTGGGGTACATTTCTTGAGATTTTGCATGTCTAAAAATGACTTTGTACTATTACCATCCTTAATTAGTAGTTTGGCTGGGTAGAGAATTCTAGGTTGACAATAACTTTGAAAGTCCTGTTCTGCTAGATTCTTGTTTTTATAGTTGTTATTGGGAAATATGATTCTGGATTTTTTTTGTGTGTTGATCAAAAATTACATGAATTTTTGTTGGAGGAAATCTCTTTTCCCCCATAGTCCTGGACATTCAGTAAGCCTTTTAATCTAGAAAAGTGAGTCCTTTTCTGGGAAACATTTTTTGCTTATTTTATAATAATTTTGTTTCCTGCTTTCAATGTTGTTTCTGGAACTCCCTTTTGGATGTCACACATTCTGGATTTATTTTTTAATTTTATATCTTTTTTTTTCTATTTTCTAATTATTGTTTACATTATACTCTGGAGTACTGCTTTAATTTTATGCTCTAATATATCTTTTGAAAAATATTTCTGCTGTTGTTTTTAATTTTCAAAAACATCTTTTTGTTCTTCAAATGTTTCCTAATATAACAATTTTTTTTGCCTTCAAAAACATAGTACCTTGTCTTATCTAATTCTGGAGATATTGTGATAAATACTACACAGATCAGAACACTTCAGAGAATTTACTCCTAAGTTCCTTTTTTGTTAGTTTCCTTTGTTCTCTATACTATTCTTTCCATTTATAAAAAAATAATTATTAATTCTAATATTTTTCAAAGACAGTGAAATTTTCCCTCAGAATTAGCCAGACTGTAGTGTTGACTTTAGCAGAAGGTGATTCTTAGCGGTGAGTTTCTGGAATGGCAGCATTCTTTCTGAATTAGCAGGATGGATGAGGTAGAAGAGACAAGAGATCCCCAAAATTTCCTTACATGAGCAACCATCCATCATCTTCCTTCTGAATTTCTGAGCTCTCTTCCTTTCTCTCTGTCAGTCACTTTTCTGACTTCTGATAACCTCTTTAGCTTTTCACTTCTTTTTTTGTCTTCTCTATATATTATATTCTATAGTTTGGGTTGTACACAAGAGGAAGTTCAGTAATTAGGGGGAGGGGAAGTGTCTGCTAAACAGATAATGCTTTAAAAAACTATAAAAAATTTAGGGAGAGAAGAGCAAGTATTAGGAGATTTATAAAAGTGAGAAGAAAGTGCTAAGAGAACTTGCAAGAAGTGTTCTTGTGTAACTAAAAAAAAAAAAGACATAAAATTGACACAAAATTTTATGTACCAAAAGACCAAATCAGATGCAAAAAAACCAAGCCTGTTTTTTGCTCCCTTTCTTGCTAAAAATGGGAGAAATAATTGTTCCAGCCTATGTCACAGGATTATTTCCAGGATCAATTGAAATTACAGAAAGTGCTTAAATTTAGATTTCATTGTTTTTCATAGCTAAGAGAATGTGCATTTATATAAACAAGAAGACACTGGCTTTATCATTTTTAGCTGGTATTCAATTAGAAAACCCATGAAAAGGCAAGAATTGCAATGGTAATTGGTGTAAATTGTTTTTGTCTTTTTGTAGAGAGAACAAGTATAATCAGTAGCTTTACTACTATCTCAATTTTTAATCTGGTTTCCAAAGTTTTATTTCTTCATATAATGCTTCAAAATTTACACTGAGATAGAATATGCCTGAGTTGTGACATCTTTAACTCTAAAATCTTAATGTAAAAATTTATGATTTAAATGCCTATTTATTTGAATAATGACAAGTTCTATTTTAGCAAGCCACTAATCTTAATGGTCTTTCCTATTTCCTTCTAAACTATCATGGCTTTCATATCTATAACTTGCATCTTTTTGAAGGAACAGCAAAGACATTTCCATAGAAAATGTTATCCAGTTATAAAGCATCTCCTGTCTCTCTCATTGGGACCACAAGTGTTAATCTCATGCACAGACATCATGATATTTTCTTTACAGGCCCAGATTATCATACTCTTCTTAGCACTGTCAACAGTAAAGCAAGATGCAGAGTGTTTATAGGGGTAGTTACAATTGCGTTTGCAAAAGGACTATGGCTTGCACAGTGAAGGCAGTACTGAGAGAACAGCAAAGCTGCCGGCATTTGACAGAGCAAGCTGCATGCTTTGCTGCCTCCTTGTCTTCCCTAAGAAGAACAAAAGGCTCCACGTATATTATTTGTCACAAGTGCTGTTGCTTAATCCATGACTTTCAGATGCAAAAGCAAAATGTATAAAACAACTTTTTAAGTAACAAATATTTGAAGCCTTTCAAGAAAAATACTAGATGTCACTAGGTTATATTATCTCTTTGAGAATGGATTTCAAAAGGCTATGTATTATAGCATCCTACATTAATAGCCTCTGTAACCTAGAAAATCTTCTATTAGAAAGAATTATACAAAGCACTATGTCAAGAAAAGAGGTAATGTCATTCCAGCTAAAGGCACAATTTTGCAGTCCACACTTCTATTTAAGAAAAGTATTTACAAAGAACTTTTCTTCCTCCATTTAGCCGTATTTGGTATGGTTGAATATTTAGTCACCTACATTTTCATGTGTGTATTTTTAAAATTTGTTTA